AACACACACCCAGATGCACAGAATGCTGCGCCTGCCACGACTTCGGCAACGGCATCGCCAAAGTGCTGCGCCTGCCACGATTTCGCAACGGCATCGCCAAAGTGCTGCGCCTGCCACGATTTCGCACGCCCCCCGCCGCGCGCGCGACAACATCCTGTCCCTCTAGACAGCTGCCGAATGCGACCCCTGCCACACAAACACACACCCAGATGCACAGAATGCTGCGCCTGCCACGACTTCGGCAACGGCATCGCCAAAGTGCTGCGCCTGCCACGATTTCGCAACGGCATCGCCAAAGTGCTGCGCCTGCCACGATTTCGCACGCCCCCCGCCGCGCGCGCGACAACATCCTGTCCCTCTAGACAGCTGCCGTGAGTCAGCGAGTGTGTGAGTGAGTGAGTGAGTGAGTGAGTGAGTGATGTGAGTGAATGAGCTGAGTGTGAGTGAGTGAGTGTGAGTGAGCGTGAGTGAGTGAGTGAGTGAGTGTGAGTGAGTGTGAGTGAGTGAGTGTGAGTGAGTGTGAGTGACTGAGTGTGAGTGAGTGAGTGTGAGTGAGTGTGAGTGAGTGTGAGTGAGTGAGTGTGAGCGAGTGTGAGTGAGTGAGTGTGAGTTGAGTGAGTGTAAGTGAGTGAGAGTGAGAGTGAGTGAGTGAGTGAGTGAGTGAGTGAGTGAGTGAGTGAGTGAGTGAGTGAGTGAGTGAGTGAGTGAGTGAGACGGAGACGAGCGGGAGAAGGAGGAGGAGACGCGGCGCGCGGACGACGAGCGGAAAAAGTAAGAACCCCACACAAAGATGTGGGGAAAAAGGGAGCCTTCTTCCCCCCGTTTTCCCATCAAGAAGCCGCTGGGTTTTAAAGATCACCCGGAAATGTGATAGGACCTCCCCCTCCGGCTTTGCTAAGGCAACAAATCCTCTGATGTTTTTTTTCTGGGATTGGTGGTTTCGTTGGTTCAAAGCAAAGCCAAAAGCTGGGCTGTTGATAGGCATTCCTAAATCCTTTTGGATGCGAAAGGATTTGCGCCGTTTAGTAGTGAATTTCCAGGACAGAAAGTCGGAAGCCTCCAGTTGAACCCTCGATCAAATCCGCGTTGGTTGCTCAAACCTTTGACTTGTGTAGCAGCTGGGGACTTCTTTGATTCCCCCCCCCAAAAAAAAACAAAGAAGAAGAAACAACAGAAACAAAAGCAACAACAGAAAAGCGAGTTCACTCGGAGGACTTCGAAAGCCTTTTCACGCCTCGCTTCTTGCGCCTATACCTTTGATTTGTTGGAGTCCGCGCAACCCCATTTTGGGGTTACGCAGTGCCAAGTTACCGCCGAAAAGCAAGCTACCTGCCATTGCTTCTTTTTTTACTATTTACATACTGGCTGGTTCTCACGGAATCATTTGGCATCCGATTTGTTGTCGGGGGCATTCCAGTTCATTCCCGGAGAAGCAAGTCAAACCACCCCAAAAAGGGAAACCTGAATCAACCAGGGACAGTATTGCTTGGGAACTTCGCAAATGGACGGTTTCCCTTGGGCTGTAGGCAAGTAGGTGGTGAAACATTGTGTGGAGCGCCCTTTCGCTTGGATCAGGGAGCACAAGGGGTAAGATAGAACTCCCAATACATTGGCCAACCAAAATAGGGCCCTTGCTTACCTACTATAGTCACCAAACATACCAACTAGATTCCATTTCTCCAGTGATTCCATCCCTAGTTTTTTGTAACCCCTATAAACTTACTTATCAGTAAGGAATCTTGAAGGGTTTTGGGAATGACCTCTGCCCTAGAACCCAGGAAGTTGGATCGTTGAGAACTAGCATGGTGAGACGACCTTTTTCACCCAAAAAGCGGTTTCAGAAAGGCACAACTCAGTTTTGGGGCCCTGGCGGTATGCGTATTTTGTCACACACACCCAAATGGGTGTCTCTCAAAATAGGGCCCCCTTCAAATGTGGCCCTCCTTGTGGTTCTCCAGCCATCCAAAGGAGGGTCGACCTTCTTGAGAAACCCCTAACTGGGTATCCTTCAGAATATATAAGTGCCCCCCAACAATTTGTGGCTTTCCTTTCATTTCCCAAAAAAAACAAGGGGTACCCTCAAAAGAACACGCGCCACACTCGAATGGCCTTGTTTTCAGGAGAAAACCAAGCACCATTTTGTTGGGGCCTAAGCCAAACCTCTTGGATTTTTCCCGGGATCTGTGGCAAGACCGCTGCATTTCGGAAAATCCCTAAGGACCCCAAAACGGGCTTCGGGGCTCGGCGGGCTCAGACCTGCGACGCCCTGGTCTCGGAGCTTATGGCCGTGTCCCGGTTGCAAGTCCTTTTACTTCCATTTGCTTAGGTTGTTTTTTTTCCCTGTTGGTTTTAAAGGAAATCTATGACTACAGGAAATATTTGTTTTCCAGGGGGCTTAAGCAAATGGCAGTTTAGACGCTTCGGTCTCTTGCGCGGCTGTGTGGCTGTCCTTTTTAGGTTAGTGTGGGTTTAGATGGGGTTTATTCCATTTACCAGGGCCATCTATTTTGCCAGAAGGCTACCTATGGGCACAACGGTTTTCCTTTTGGTTTCCATTCAAAACCACCAAATCAGGGGTGCCCTCAAAACATGAGACGGCAAATACCAGCGGCGACTTGATTGCGAACAAATAAAGATCACAGTGAAAACCAGAAGGGCTAACAATGATTGCACAACTGAACCATTATTTTTCCAAAGATCATCCAAAAGCCCAACACAAATTAGACACGTAAAATAAGCATCCCCTTGTGGTTTCGTGGTGAAACAAACACTAAGCGATTGTTTGCATAAGCAGTGAGCCTCAACCATTGTCTTCTTGGCATCCAGTGTTGGGAACGCATGGCTTGTGAGTTGTTGGTTCCTTGCTACTGGAATCTGCTACTTTAAGGCGAGACCTCCCCATTCCCCCCTTACCCTCTATCCCCAGAGGGCTTGGATCCTAAAAAAGCGAGGAACGACGCTCAGTGAGAACCTGTTGAAAAACCGGATTCCGATCGCTTGCGCCCATCCCCAGACCTCCTCTGCCCTTTTTTCCAACTTGTTTTTTGGAGGGTTCCGTCGAAAGCCCAACTACAAAGGCGCGTGTCTTTTTTGCCCATGGCCACGAAGTCTTGGAATCATGTGTGTAGTTAGATCCCTTTTAGGGTCCTATGCTCAGACCGGCTGCCCCCATTCGCTCAGCTAGCCGCAATGGCCGAGCAACTTCAAGGGAAGCTTCGCATTGCAACAGCCAGCAGCAGTTTGACGTGAAGGGAGAGTGACACTACCCTTACTCTGACAGCGAAGCTTCGCGATCAAATGCTGGAAGCAGGGTTCTTTCATGTGCCATGTGTTCCAATGAAGCTTTTGTATGGCTTAGGCATTTTGTAGGATGACTGCCGGTACCGGATCCGCTGGTTTGCCGTTGGGCTCAAGAGCGGAGACGGAGTCGGTGTCTGGAGTGGGCCGTAAGGCGGGCAGAGCTTTGTGTGCTGGCACTTGCTTCGTCTTGGCTTCGATTCGGACCACCTTTAAAAGCGTTTCGCGACACCCTGGAATGATAATCCCCTGCAAATTCCAGCAAAGAGAGGTTTCCCATGGTTTCAAAGCGGTGCAGGTTTTTGTCCAACAGTAGGGTGCCCCAGCCCGACATGGTGTGGTCAGTGAACATCTCTCGCTCGTTCCGATCGCATTCTGCAGCCGTATTGCGAGCAGAAAGAGCGGCCGAAGTTTGCACCATGCAAGCTGCAGCAAAGGCGGGGGGTGGACGGCTGTTGGCTACAAGAAGCAAGGGCGAGAAGAAGCCAGCAGGTTGGTTTAATGATGTAGAACAGACGGGCGGCCTTAGGTTTCCAAAGCGGTGGTCGTCACCTTATTTTTGGAGCCTGCGCCTTTTCAGGTTTGTCTTGGTCCGCCTGGGGGCAAGCCTGGGTTCTGGCTGGCAGCCAAAGGATGGGAATTGCCCTATAGTGGGTAATACAAGAGCCATCCTCAAGGGCCTAAATGATAAGAATGGGACGGTGGGGTTCGTCAAGCTAAACTATGCTATGCTCTCCCGAGAACATGTCAATGTCAGTAATTGTTTGGCCACTCATCGTTCTCTAGGGGTAGCTTGCCCATTCCAAATCCAGGGACTCTTCTTTATTGTGCAGGCGAAGGCGGCCGCCAAGGCGGGCGCCAAGGCGAAGGCGGCGCCCAAGGCGGCGCCGGAGCCCAAGGCGTGCGCTTGGCCTTAGCGCGGGTGCGATGGGAAACGACGGCGCGAGTCCGGGTGTTGGGTGAATGAACCCTTTGCATCATTCCAGTTCTCATCTGCTGAGAGCCAGGAAGAGGCGAGGGAGGGTTTATGAGTATCGAAGGGTTCAGGGTCAGGACCACCCCCCCCCCAAACTGGCCAACAAAAATGCCGGCTTCGTCTCAAAACTGGAGAAAACGTAGAGTTGACGGAAAAAGCGAACAGGCGATTCAACCACCTTACTTTGATAAATAGAACAACCAAGATGGGTTTCCACTACCGAACTCGCTACTCCTAGGGGAAAACGGGGTATGTGCCCTTTACGCTGTGGGTGGTATTCAACCCGCGGGGTAGTGGTTTTCGGGGTAGTGCAAACCATCTCACAGCTTAGGGTTGGTTGAACAGGTGAGGTTGGACCCCCCCGAGTGCTGGATATAACCAACCCCGACCTTACAGCATTTGAGCGACTCGAGGCTTCAAAAACGTCCAACCAGCTCCAAAGTGCTGTAAGGCCGGGCGGTCTGAACCCCACCAAAAAACAACACAGCTCACTTCGTTGTCTGAACTTTGGTGACTTGTTGAAGCCCTTGCCGGTTGCCCAAAAACAAACAGACAGCTTCTCCGAATTTGCCCCTCACCAGACCCCTCTCACTTCCTGGGCACCTCATTTCAGGACGAGAAAACCGCTCACGTCACGGAAGTCCCCTACCGCCAGGCGCCGGCGCGCAGGCCAGGGGTGCCCGCGGCCCGCGACTTCCCACCGCTGCCGGCGCTGCCGCCGCTGCCGATGGAGGCGTTGACCGTCGGGGAGGACCCGATTTGGCCGTGATCCCGAATCCGCGGTTGAAGTTTGAAGGAACACCAAGGGGAAATCGTTTTTGTTTGGGGATCGCCCAACTTGTTTCAAAGGGTAAGTTAGGATGTAGTTGGGGTCTCCAGATTAAGTATGATACTGCGTCTGAACATTGTTTTTGGACTAGCCCGGAAGTGGGCAAAACAGACCTCCAAATTGACGGAACCTGCCACCATGGTGGCTTTTGGTGAATCAAACATTGATACATGTACTATTCTTGGCATGTTTTTTTGCCCCCCGTCCACGTTGCCATGACACCTGACAGGGAAAAACGGTGCCTTCAGCAGGAAGTTGATCTTCCAGGCAAGCTGTTGTTGGCTGTAAACAAGAGTTTCGAAGGGCAAATGTAATAGGTCCATACGAGACCCCTAGTGAGAAGTCCCAGTCGACTGGTCAATTGACAACTCACAGCCCTATTTGAAACCGGCCACAAAACGTTCAGAGCCAATGTCGTGCATCCCTCAGGGTGTACCCGGTTGGGTCCCAATTGACTGGGGAAGCGGACCACTTGGCTAGTCTTTGTGACCGCTTTTGGAAACAAATGGTGGTTTCAGTAAACTTACAACAGCTTAGACCTTGTACGCAGGGGAGATTTCACCCAGACTTCTTTGGAATCCGGCTAAGGCTACGGGTGTCGCAGCTCGGACTTGTCCGAAATGAACATACCAATCAGCTCTAAGCTGCGTACCTGGAGATCGGCATTGTACAACCCCTGACCCCCGTATGCCCGCCAAAGAGAAGAGGTGGTATCGATTGTGTTCACTCGCAGCCCAAAAAATCAATGGTATGTTATATGTATACATGTACTGTATATATATATATATACACATACATAATGTATATACGCATACACTGGTAGGAGGGTGGGGGCTTCCACTTGTGTTTGGTCTACTTTTCCTTACAATTCTCAGCTTGCTTTCGGGGCTCCAAGAACATCTTGGCCGGAATAGGCCAACCATAAAGGGTAAGCAACATGAAACCCTGGGCCAGGGAAAGGGGAACCCGGAGGTTTGGGAAAGCCAGCGGAAGCTCCCTGAACTTTTCTCTCTCTGTCTCTCTCTGTCTCTCTCTTTCCGTTCTCTTCCTCTTCTCAACTCCCTCGACACGTGTCTTTTCCTTTGCCTTTCGCTTTTCTCTCCGTGTTTCGCTTTTCGCTCTCTCTTGCCCGGCGTGAGGAGATCGGCAAGGGCCGGTTCAAGACGGTGAACCGCGGGGTGCTCAAGGCCTACGCCGTGAACGACGGGGACAACTCGGACCGGGACATCGTGGTGATCCGAGCCATGGCCAACGACAAGACACGTGGGTCACCCGTGGGTAGATGAGCCAAAGAAAGATGGCTCTTTGCAGATTGGGGTCCTTCCAATCTGCAAACACAGAACTTTCAGTGGATTGTCTTGGGCCATTCGTTTACCCCCAGGTTCTTTTAGGGATAGGGGTCAAACACACTCATTAGGTAATAACAAAAGCTTATTAGGTATCAAACAAACTTTCTAGGTATCACAATGAAACTTATCGCTTTTCTCAACACAAGGAGGAAAGGAAGGAAGGAAAGAAAGAAGGGAAGGGAAGGGAAGGAAGGGAAGGAAGGGCAGGAAGGGAAGGAAGGGAGGGAAGGGAAGGAAGGGAAGGTTCGGAAGGAAGGGAAGGAAGGGAAGGAAGGGAAGGAAGGGAAGGAAGGGAAGGAAGGGAAGGAAGGGAAGGAAGGGAAGGAAGGGAAGGAAGGGAAGGAAGGGAAGGAAGGGAAGGAAGGGAAGGAAGGGAAGGAAGGGAAGGAAGGGAAGGAAGGGAAGGAAGGGAAGGAAGGGAAGGAAGGGAAGGAAGAAGGGAAGGGAGGGGGAAGGGGGAAGGAAAGGAAGGATTGCTAGGAAGGATTGCTAGCAAGGATTGCTAGTCGTTTGTTTGCTTCTGACTAATTGTGCTTTTGCGGGCAGCTTAACGCTTTCATGGTATGCGTGCTTGCCACCGTACGTGCTCCGTGTTCCCTTGCGTGCCAGAGCGGGGTGGCTGCGCGCTGGCCCAAGAAGCCGCGTGTGGGTGTTCAGCCGAACATGGGTTCACCTTCTTCATGGCTTCCTACCTTTCCGCGTGCCGTTTGACACATCGGGAACACGGGAAGGGAGTTTCCTTGGTTTTGAGTTTATGAGTTCCCTTCGCGTTGCAAAGCAAGGCCAATCACAGGCTAGGGTCTTGCGACCTGTTCCATGCTCGATCACCGCCTCGCATGAGCAGATCCAACGGGTTTGCCAGGTGGAGGCACCCGGAGAGTGATCTAAGCGATAGATGAGCTGGAGCCTCACATTCAAAGGGCACTGTGCCCCTTTTAAACTGCTCCAGCTGATTGGTAGTGGTGGAATAAGCACATCCCAACCGGGAGTGGGTTGCGTCTTTTCTGGGCGGATTCTGGATATCGATATGATTGGACGCGCTGAAGTTGGTTGGGTTCCTTGGCCGTGTTTGAAACCACCCTCCAAAGGTACACTTCTACGACTGAGGGTAAACCCAGCTTGGGCATAATGAAGGTGTTCTTCTACGGGATGCCTTCATCCAGCTTGCGAAGTATTTTGTGAACCATCATAGATGGTTTATGGACGTAAATCCACCAAAAGGAGCCAAATAAGGAACCAATAGAGAAGCACAGCATCCCATAAATCAGCGGCTGATCGCATGTTTCCACATATTGACCCATGGCCTTTTTGGTGCTGTTTTGGAGGGCCAGTGTCCTGTAGTTCAGCTAGATTAAGAGTTTGGATCCATAAATTGGGGGTTGCCAGGGGTTAACAACTGGGTATGTCTCAAAATGGCTAGGGTAGAATTAGCGGTTGATCCATGAATTGGGGGTTACCATGTCTGCCCTGTTTGCCTTAAACCCGGGGTCAATGGGCGGGCCAGGAGCCCCAAATCGGTTGGTCCCCTGTGTGTTTCCCGTCGGGGGAAAATGGGCGGCCCGAGGCTATGCAAAGGGCAACGCGGAGAACTCCAACGAGCTCCAGGCGCGGCCAAAATGGGAAAGAGGTGTGGGTGTGTCCAAAAAGATATGGGTCTCCAGACTCCAAACCCACTGTACATCACTGTACCCCAGTAAACATGGAAGTGCACAAAGCCCCTTTCCAAGAGGAAAGTGGTTTTTGTATGGGGATCTAGGTTTAAACCAAACCGATTGTACATATACCCTGTCTACTAAGATGGCACACAGAGGGTCACTTTGACAGGAAATGATCTTCCAGGTCTCCCACAGGTGCTATGTTAGTGGGACGGAGGGTGTATCTATATATATATATATGCATTTGTGATAACCCCGCTCCCCTTGGCACCTGGGTCCTGGGGGGGCTGGGAGCATAATACATACATATATATATATAGAGAAAATATATAGTCCACAGATTACAAGGGAGACGCAAGATGGAACAGAACCCGAGAATCTGATTCTTGGTGTCCGTCGCTTTTTGTGGGCCAAGAAAACGATTCTGGGGTCCCCTGCAATTGGGTTGGACAAATCTGCAGAATCTAGAAATATGTTTTGGGGTGGACCTTCGTGTTCATTTCTTGGCAAAGAAATGGGGGAACCCTGGGGCTCATGTTAGGGGACTTCTCGTTTTGCGGCCTTTACTTTTCGTGGGCCGAATTCGCAAACGTTTTGAGTCTAACTTGTTGGTGAACTCATTTGCAAGTTTACACTACATGTTGTGTTGAAGTGTACCTTTGGGGTCTAGGTAAAAGTGATATTGTTTGCCTGTTGCTGCTCAAGTTGCCCATGGCATTGTGTGCAAACCATAATTGCCTTAGCTGACTTGCATATCCATCCAAACTGCTATAGTATCAGTGATTGATATATTGGCACATACCGGCACCAATGATGGTAATATGCCATGAGAGGGTGAGAGACTGACACAGGCGAGGGAGCAGGGGAGGGACTGTAGAGCGCTGAAGCTGAGTACAATAAAGAGTGCCAGACAGATAGATTGAGATATGGAGCGCGACATAGGTTGAGAATCAATATCTCTCCCTTTCTCTGTCCGTCACTCTAGCAATTCAACCAATTTGTTTTTTGTGTTTTTTTTCTTGGTCTCTGTCAGCCCCGGTTTCAATGTCAACCTTGGTCGCTCAGTCTTTCTTTGTCTCGTGCTGGTGTTTGTGTCTCTGTCAGTGCCAGCAACAGAGGGGGAGAGAGAGAGAGCGAGAGAAAGAAAATAAAAGACGGGGGACAGCAGAAGACAGGAAGCGACAAAGTAGAAATGATTGCTACAGAGTGTCTCAGATGGATTTTCTGAGCAAAAATGGTCCATCGCTCCAGTCAGGTGCTGAATCGTCTGGCCTTGTTGTCCCACACCGCGGAGAACATCCCCAAGGTCTATGGTGCCTTGGAACGGAGACGAAACTTCCAGGTTCCGAGCCCAGAAAGGATCGGGGCCAACTGCCGGAAGTTGGCCACCCTTGCATATCCATGCTCCCTCAGAACATGGAGGCTCCCAGGCCTTTGTAGCTGGAACCAAGTCTTCCAAAGGGGTCCGTTCGGGAGCTTTCATGTTATCCTGGGGGAGGGTAAGGCCTTTGTAGTATCAATATATGCTAAAGGCTTTTGCGGCTTGGAGCCTGGGGTACAATCGCCCCGGCCAGGAATCGGGCGGGTTTGTGGGCGAAGAGGTTGGATGCCAATTTGCTTTGGGGGGCCTCCTTTATGCTCTAAGTGTTGATAGAACAAGCAGTTGTTCCAGCAGTCGTAGTTTCGATGCCTGCTCTAGATAGCTTCCTTCCAGGAGATGTTCTGGGAATTTAGGAAGGTAGGAAGCATGCACAGAGATTTCTAGAGGTTTCAAAGACATGTCCAAGGAAAGCCAGTTTCCAACTTTGCCAACCTCCAGAAACCGCACCTTTTTGGCATCAAGAGGGGCTTTTATCGAAATTTATCCATTCTAACATATTCTGAAAGGCTCCTTGTTAGTTTGTTCATGTTGGCACCGATTTTTACATTCGACACGTTGATTCGAGTGAGCTCACCCGAGCGAAGGTGCGGCAGAGCAGGGAAGAGACCTGGTGCTGGTCCAGGTGCGGCATGGGTTTGTCTCAAATAAGCACGAAATAGGTGGCATCCTTTTGGTTTTCCTTTTGAAGCACCACAACAAATAGGTGCCCTCAGAAAATATACACCAAGCAACTATTTCATTTTGTTGAGTAGCCTAGGGGAGACTACTATTTCAATGAGGTTGCAGGCCAGGTTCCTTAGCTCGTGGAGGTGTTCTTCTTTTGCGCCGGGTTTTGTTTGGGACTCAGTTGGTTATGTGGCTAACATGTCGAGGCAAGGTCCAAACGCCAACGGGAAATCGGAAACATGGATTGATTCCAAAAGAAACATGGACTGGGTTAGGCTGCCCAGTGCAGGTAGGAAAGGCGTAGATTGGGCTCGGTCTTCGGTCCTCAATGCTTCACGAATCTAGGATAATTTTCAAGGATAAAGTCCGAGATGATAGTAAGGAATGGTTGTGGATGACAATCTGACCTGGTTTCCTTGGTCCAGTTTGTCCCCATGTTGAAAGCCTTGGGTTTGACAAAGAGTCCTGACCCCGAAGTGGAATCCGAAAAAATCGGGATGGAATCCCATCCCCGTTATTTGTGTTTCCCTTAGGTTAGGAAAGGCGCAACTAAATCGGGTTGATCCCTGATTCTGACTCGAAGTTTCTCGCCCTGATAGGGTTAGGCCTCAGGAGAATCGGATCGGACTTCTAACGACCCCTTTCAAAGGGGCTAGGAAAGGAAACAGGTTGTTCGGATCGGACTTCTAGTTCTCTGCTGCTTTTCCAGAATCCCATCTTTACGTTGCGAAACACGGTTTGCCCAGGTCCGGCAGTTTGGGGCTAGTGGTTTGGCATTTTGGCGCCTATCAACCGTTGCGCCGCTGCCAACGCGACCTCCGCGGGACCTGAATTGGTTGGTGACCGTTTGTTAGCTTGGTGGTTGCCAAAATCCGCGACATCTCACGCAAAGAGCTGTTTTCTTGCGTATCACCTTTAATCAACATATTACTCCTTACACATCCACACAAACCCTTTGTGCAACATACCCCAGGCCCAACAAAACTCCTTCAGGGAAAGAGCTACCACTATATAGCTCAAAAAGACCTACCACCACTATTACCCTCAAGCATCCCCCCCCAAAAAAAAACAACAACAACAACAAAAACAACAACATTTCCCCAAATATCTTCCTCCAAAACATCAACCCCTCAAAACAACCTACCACAAGACTCGTCATAAACTCCTTCACCCCTTTACTCCCTTTAGTGGGCACCCCCCCCCCCCCCGCCGCACGCGTCAGGAGCTGGCGGCTTTCGGGTGCCTCAAGTCCGTGGTCTCGGACCCCCACGAGCTGTGGACTCCGCAGCACGGGCTGCACACCGCCAGGCGACCGCGCCGCACCGCAAAGAAACCACGCCGCACCCTTGCGGCGAAGCGGCCACGCCAAAAGCGTGGGAGACGTGCAAACTCAAAACGGACACCTTTTTTGTTGTTGTTGTTTTCTTCTTCTTCTTTTTTCAACATAACAAATCAGATGTTGTTTTGAAGGAAACCCGGCCTCCACTTAAAATGGTTGGATTCTTACTAATTTGAAGATGGGCGAAATTAAGCTGGAACATGGAAGCCATCAGACCCATACAATGGTTGTTGGGGCACTGCCAATTGTACATATCATGCTGTAAGGATGGCGGTTTTTCTGGGTTCATGGGTGTCCTTTGAGTCCGGTTGAAACCAGTTCCCGTCAAAACCTCAAGTGCTTGCCCGACAATACCATGGGTGTCTTGTTTCCGGTTGGAAATAGATGCATGTTGCTGGCTCAGCTCCAAGCATTGCTCAGTCGCATGGCCAATACTCTTGCGGTCATCAGCCCTTTAAAAGGGATCTGACCATAAGGGCTCCTTAGGCACCATGCCCAGAATCACTGGAAGTTCTGATTGCAGAATGGGGCTGATTATAGATGTGTATGAAAACAACTTCTTCTTTTTTGCACTGCTGCTTTCCAACGGCGGATGATGGTTTGGGTGCAGCCGCCATCTTATCAAGGGCCAATTTTCAGGTCAAAGGCCCAGGCACCAGTTTGGGCCGCGGCCAGGCAGATCTGCTCGGGCATGCACGCCCTGGAGGTCGCAAGGGTGGCACACGCAGACCTGGCCTGTAGAGCCTTGGTTTGCGAGCGCCGGAGATGGGCTTTTGGTGGTCGGTACATCTATGGGTTTGCGAGCTCACCGATCCAGGAGGAAAACGAGCGAACGCTCAATGGTGAAGGTCAGTTACCTGGGGATTCCTAATTTCAGGTTTGGGAATGGGCATTTGAACAGATGCACGGGCTTGAGACTCAAAAAAGGCAGCTAGTCATGACCGCTTCCCTTGAAACCCAGGGAAAACACCAATCCACACCTCTTGGCCATGAAGTGGGATCCAATCCGCTTTGTTGTTCTTGGTGTTTTCCAGCTCTTCTCATCCCACAGTTTCCGTCCTGCCCCTTCAGAGTTCCGAGGAAACATCTTGGTGAAGCACATGGGCGCGGACCCCGCCAGCATCTGCGTCAAGGTCACGGACTTCGGGCTCTCCGTGATGATCGACGAGGGCGCCTGGGCTCCAATGTGCATTGTTCAACCTGAGGGATGTATTTGGTGCACGTAGATTCGGGATTCTCTCAAAATGGGACTAACTAGGATATGGAACCGCCCCCCCAAAAGGGTGTGGGTTTCCCCTTAAGACATGCCCAACAGAGGTACCGATGCGTGTTTTTCTTCGAGTTGCACGCGGGGATATGTTGGAGCACGCGCTTGTTTTGGGTAAGACTCATGGTGAACAGGGGACCTAAGAGGATGGCAGTCCTAAAGCCTTCGGAAGGTCTACCTCTCAGGGGAGAGTGAGAGATTTTGAACATGTTCAGGAGTTCACGCTCAGGAGAAGCACGTCATGTAACCGTGGGCGAGTTGCCCTTAGCTGTTCATGGCTTTCTTTTCCGCCATTGGTTGTGACTGTCCATCCATCACACACCTCCAAGATACAGCTTCATCACGATCCGCCCTTTTGTTCAACCACTCCCTTCTCTGTTGTTGCTTGCATGTTCAGTTGTTTTGTTTGGCAAGCCTGCTGGGTTTTATTCCCCATGCTCACTGGCCGCTTTCGCGGTCCCGGTGGTAACATGGCTGACGCGCTGATGTTTCTGTCGAGGGGAACGCGCCCTCCCAGAAATGGATCGTTTGCTGTTGGTTTCCCTTTACCACAATTGGTTTCCCTTTCATGCAACTTCAAAAGCGGCTTCCTCAGGAGATACAACCCCAAATCACGACGCCATACCATACACAGGTTACATACAAGAACATAGGTTACATAGAAGAACATAGCCAATTTGAAACAAAGACCTTTGTACTATAGCCTTTCCCAAGTGGTTGGATCAACAGCAACGATGTTTAGTGCTGCGCAGATTATTGCCATAAAACATCTGCAGGAAGTGAACCCTAGCCTCTCAAATCACTTGTTTGGGTATGCCACGGACCCCACAAACGACCCTTAAAGACTCCAGCCGTCAATCAGTTGGCCTTAAGGCTGATTCACCCCTGACCATTGCCGGGTCCGCATTTGGTAGACTTCCGGCAGGATTTCCGCGCCAAAGTTGGACGGGGGTCAAATTCAGGCCAAAGTGGGATGTATTTATGGGAAAGCCATAATTTCAGACGGTCAGGTCCTGTTCACTGGGAGTCCAGGGGACACTGGGGGTGTCCGATCGGAGCAAGGCCCTTTCCATTTGGGTTTGTGTCAAGCTAGGAATCGGACCCCCCAAAACGGGGATACCCTCCACAAATGACGCACCCATTTCTGACTGACCATTTCTGACTGAGGCATGGACCACAAGATCCGGAAGCAGCCCTCCGCCACACGCAGCTGAGAGAGCAAAGAACCCGGTGTCAATCTTTGGCGACTCCGGGCGTTCGACCGGACCTTTTGAACAAAAAGCCCAAACTTTTTGAAGGGACACCCACCACCTTGGCGCCGAAGGGAGGCCAAAAAAAGTCCACCTCTGGGGGTTTGCTCTTTTTCATTGCCGTACTTTTGCACAACATGTAAATCCCCACGTGCCCTGTCGGGTGCCGTTTACAAGAGCAAACAATAACTTTTTGCGGGTCTAAGAGTGGCTAGGTCTTACAGGGGTCCTCTGGGCCAGTTTCAGGGAGCCATATGTTCCTTCAAGGTGCTCAATGATTTCGGAAAGCAAAAGGAACAGACCTTTTTTGGGCCTATGGACGCCTCCGTGGGCTCTCGCCCACTGTTTTCCTGGGCCCAGCCGGCCTTGCCACCGAGGCTGGGTGAGCCCTGAGACGGTGGCACTCCAAAAGCTCTCCCTCCGCGCCGACGTGTGGTCCACCGGGGCCATGCTGCAACTCGACCGAACTCGTGGCGGAGGCGGAAGCGAGTTGGAGAGTTGGGTGGGTGCGTGTTTTTTTTATTGAATTGGCTAGATGAAATGGCCCAACATGTTTTGAATTAGTGGGACAGGGGCCCTTAGTTCTTTTTTTGTGTGTGTGTTTGTCATTTGGGCGTTCAATAGCCCAGAATGTTTGATTTACTCTGAAGAAAACCAAAAGGGACGCGTTTGTTTCTTTTTGCCCGACCCCGCATTTAGCACCCAGTGTTTCGAGAACTTTTTCGGGGTTGGTTCAAGGGGAAACCAAAAGGAGCGCAAAGTGCTTACTGATTGTTGGCTTCCACTCGCTTGTTCTTTTCTGAGGGATTCCAGGCTTACCAATTGAGTTGGACTTCTTGTGTTAGCATACATGGCAAAGGGCTCAACATTATTATCAGTTACTGTATAGCTCAAGGGCATGATCAGGTGGGTTGTGAGGTGTGGAGCTTAGAAGCAGCGCTATTGCAAGGGGATTAGGGCTGTTTCCAAACCCGGAGGCTCTGTGTATGAGCATGTTTTCTTCCGGATGTTTCTGCCAGTGGGGCGGGGGGGGGGGGGGGGTGACACAGCTTTTTTGGTGACGCGTTTGGTGACTGTTGCAACCCTCTTTAAGGTAAGTGAGAGCCAACCAACCGACTGCTGAACAATTGCTCAGAACGATGAAGGGGGGGCTCATAGAGCCGATTGCGCATACAACTGGGGCATGTGCCATTGAGGTTTCCACGGTCGCATGCAATGGCTTTCCCTTCCAAGGAATGGTTCCCTCACTGAAAGCAACTCGAGCTTTTTCACCTTTTGGTTTCCCCTTTTTGGTCCATTTTGCGTCATGGCCCCCAAAAGCTTCAACTTTTATTTCCACCGGAACTGAGCCTACCATTGGGGTGACTGGTCAGTCTCAGGTGGGAGATCTTCGCGAACGGAAACGTGCCCTGGGCAGCTCGGTGCGCAGGGTCGCCCCAAAGCGAAGTGGCGCATGCGTGGAGTCTCATGCCGATGGACATGTTTCTGTTGCCCATTTGCGTTCCCCGGAAGATAACTCCAAGAAGAGTACCGACGTACATGCTGTATTGTACAAGCATATATATATATATATATGTATGTATATGTATATGTATATGTATATATGTATGCTGTCTCCCTGCGCTGGTGTACTCAGGGAAAGACCCACATTTGGACACCAACATGATAATATGCAGGGTAGATACAACAAACAAAGATGCAACAAACGAGAACTTCAATATGCAACAAACCACACAACCAGCAACAACCATCAAAAACAACCACCCATATAACCCATAAATGCTGTTCCGATCAAGAAGAAGTAAATAATAGTTCCAGAGAAGCAAGTATTAGGACTACAAAAATATGACGCACAAGATATCTCCAACCGGTTCCCCCCGGGAAAAAACAAAAAAAAAAGACGCCACCGCGGCCCAAGCCTTGCTTGCTTGAGGTGAACTGGCCCAAGCGGGTGCCTTTGGCCGAGAAGCTGCGGGCCATGGTGGAGAAGCCGAACTCCGAGGCGGCGCTTCGAGGGGGCGCTTCGAGGGGGGGGGGGCGGGTGGATGGTGGGGGTTCCATTTTGGTTGGTACATGGCCGTGGGTCAACGCCAATGGTACCATTTTGGATTAGGTGCACCACCCATTTTAGTCGGGATTTTAGTGGGGATTGGGATGTTCACTGGACCCATAGCCACATGGGTCCGCGTTTTTGTCAGGGTATCCCCCAAGTGTTTTTGTGGCTTTGGGCAACACCAGCAGTTTGGAGGGTCCCCTTACAAATGGAAGGGTGTATGTTGCTTGTGATGGCTTCATGAAGAAACATGCTTGTAAGGGTGGGCGTGTCATCGTGTGGGGTTATCAAGGGCCTGTTTCTTGGCTTGGGGCTTTGTTGCTTGTGAGCTCCGGGGATTCTTCACTTTGATTTTCCATTTGTCAGTGTATGTCCGCTTGGAAATGGTTTGAGTCAGTATGAGAAGCAGGTGCCACAAACCAGTTCGTTTCCTAACCTTTCACCGCAAGGTTTGAAGCGTCATCCACTAGCAAAGGGCAACAGCAGTTGCAGAGGGAGGTGCCGAGCATCATGTGCCGCGTAGTCCCCCTTAAACCTCAAGGCCTTGTTCCTGCCCACATTTTTGCCATCCAGTGTTTACTGGGATTACTGACATGATTTGAGTTAACCCTTAGGATTTCCTTTTTCTATTGGGAGACAACTGTTTGATCCAGAAAAGCCTTTCTATTTTAGACTGTTCGTATTTGTTGAAAATGGGTAAGGGTGACAAGTTGGATCGCAGGAGAAAATATTGAGATTTTGAGGGTTGGAGATTGGGAGTTGAAATTTGTTGGTATGTAGCTTGGGTTTGTCGGGTGGGATTTGTTGGGGAGATGTGAGATGGTATGTAGTTCTGAATGTTGCTATTGAATGAGTGTAGGGATGAATGGTTTAAACACTGGCTTAAACGCTGGTTCAAAAAGTGACATGTACAGGACCTTTGTCATGACTTTCACTCGTTATACCCCCAGCTCGCTATAAAATAGGCGGACCTATCCAGTCTCCAGGTTTCCAGTGAGATATCTGGCACCTCTCTGGCAACCAAAAACGGGACGATGGGATATCTGTCACTATATTGGCTTCCAACGGTTTCCTTTTGGGATCCCTTTTGCCAACCAACAAAAGGAAGCTCTCTTCTGATTCCCGTGTTGAGAACCTCCCAAACGGCACACATGAAAGCGACTCATGTAAGGAAATTAGAACAGGGGCTGGGGGTAAAGTGTTTTCCATCCGGTCATAGAGTACCCCCTACACTTTTTGGCCAATTTTGCATACACATACTAAAACAACCCGTTTTCAACCGTCAAAACGAACCACAACCAATCCAATCCGAAACACACATATTATCTTACCCGTCTTCTTTCTTTACCCCATCTCAACTTCTTTAGTTTCTGTTTAATCTCGTATAGAGATCCTTTGACTACAGGAAAATTGCACATGGGTGGCTCAAAATGGATCAGCCCACCTCGGATTTGACGAAACAATTTTCAGGAGGCCGCCTTCGACCCCCGCGCGGAGTTCCCAGCCCAGGCGCGGCGAAGTTGGTTCGGTCGGGCGAGGCGGTTGGTTGGGGAGGTTTTGGTGGCTGGGGCTTCCTTGAATTTTTTTGGGGGGGAGGGAGTTTTTTGTTTTGTTTTAATCGCGAGAAGGTTCTTTCATTTTTGTTGGGGGTGGGGGGGGGGAGAGGGTGGGGGTTCCTTTTTGCTTTGGAGGGTGGGTTTTTCTCTCTTGGGGTGGTTCGCAACATGTGAAATGCACAAGGCCACGCTGTACAAGGGCATCCGACAAATGCAAAGTACCCCTTTACAATTTAACAAGGGCAAAAGCAGGTCTTGCTCTTCAACATGTTCAAGGGTGTTGGGTGAGATCCTTTAAGAATGAGATGGGTCTCACTGCTCTCAGGGCAGGGAATGATGTTCAAGGGTTGGGACACATGTCCGTTTCCAGCTGTCAGCTAGGATTCTCGTGCGGTCTAGACACTTTGGAGTCCGAACGCACCGATTGTTGCATTCCACCGATTGTTGCACGAGGGAACCTATTCGGGCGAATTATAGCAACGTGACGTTTCGGGAGGCTTGTGACCGTCACTTGTGATGAAGGTTTCTTTTATAGGGGTTCCTTATTCGGTTGGTGAAATATTATGATTGTCTAGATGTACACGCCCATGCATGAACCTTTGGCATGAACTGCGGTGGCTTTTATGCGTCAAAGATGTGAAACCGTTCGCTACCGGGGGCCAACATGGATTCCCATGGATTCACGCGCGTATGTCCAATTCGCGTGTTTGCAGAATTTTGAAAAACAGGAGAATCCATGGATCCGGCATGCGTGACACATGTTTTGAACTGGAGCCTTGCAAGTTCCTCGCGCTCTTTTTTGGGAGGTGGGAGCTGCATATGTATATATATATATATATCAATTTCAACTCACATACATGCATATGTGCGTACATACAAGTGTTTTTTGACAAAAGGCCACGCCAATCATCGCCTGGCAGTCGAGATGATTTTGGTTTGGGTCCCAGGTCTAGTCATTTGTCATTACCATCTATGTTTCCAAAAGGACAGCTAGTCAAAATGTATCTGGCCACAAATGCACCCGTGGTATGAACATGAACAAAACAATTGATTGACCACTGTTTGGGGATCTTGTGAGCCCCCGAGTTTATGTTGCAACTACGCAGAATGCATCAAACACATGTTGTTGCGGAGACTCACTCTTCCCCCAACCTGGCAGGTTTTCCATGTTGGGCACCAAGTACCGACATATATGTTTTGTTTTTGCATTTTGCTTTTAAACCATAAACCATTCTGACTCAGAAGCAGATACTCCTACGTTCCAGATGCTCCCGCAAATCTGGGACCCTGAATGGAGGCCTGGGTCTCACGTTGGCATCGGGGTCCCGTGGAGGTTTCATAGGGACCTCCCACCGCTCTTTTGTTTTGGGTGGCAAGATGGGGGCGGGGGTGGTCAATGTGTAATTCATTAACTACGTCGGTTTTCAAAAATGGGAGGGGGACTCTACATCACTTGGAGCAGGGCTACTCATTTCCGGTCGTTCGACGTGAGGCGAGCAATTAATTCATGGGGGGAGCCTCAAAATGGATTTCAGTTGAAGCAAAATGTTGTTTCCCTGTAATGTTCAGTTGAAGCAAGATTTCCCTAGTATAACAATAAACATAATTTGGTCCGAACTTTAGTTTCCCCTGCCCCGCCTAACGGCACCGGTTGGAATCGCAGGAGGGCTACCCGGAGGAGGCGCATGAGGCGCTGCTGAGCTGCCTCCAGGTGGACGAGTACGCCAGGCGTGGTGAGCGGCTTCGGGTTGGAGTAAGAGTTGTTTGGTCCATGGGTTTTGAGAAACACGTGCATTTTATTTTAATTTTTTTAAAGACCATTGGGTGTTTATTGCTTTAAACATAAAAACCATTGTGTTTTTTCCTATATAGATATATACATAAACCCAATGGAGCAACAACAGGTGTTGGACGTGGTTTGGTTTTGGAAGCCTGTTGTTTCCATGGCATAAAAGCAAAGGAGAGATGTCGGCTTTTTGATGACAGAGTCACCGGCTTGGTGGGAAATAGCTGGGTCGAAAGCTGCCCATGTATCCCATGAACGGCTGATGCACCAAATGTATTTTTCTGTTTGACCGTAGTCTTCCAAAGCCCATTTGGCAGCTTCCATGATTGCTGTGGACAGGGAAAACCAAGCGTGAACCAAACACTTGACCAAACATGGTGGAGAAGCCTTCGATGAACCCTTTGGTGGACATCAGTCCTTCTTTTGTGTCGCGGAACAAACACGAAAAAGTGTATCAAGGACTTCTCGAGAAAGCGTCAGGCGCATATTGCTCAGGGAACAGGGATGCCCCGAGCCTCATCTGCGGTCGAAACTTGGCCTCCTTCGGTCTTCCTTGGGCGTGGGGTGCGGACACCTCGAGAAAAACTCTATTGCAGCCCCTAAACAAAATGGTTAAGCACACCCAAGTGTATACCGGGGGGGCCGAATGGGCCGAATGGGCCGAATTTCTGCCCTGCCGAGAAAAGGAGATTGGGAGCAAGCCTAGAGGACCCCTAGGTTTGCTCAACTACCCCCCAGATTTGAGAAATGGACCCTGAAACAACCTCCGAAAAGGGGATTCGAATCCCGAAAAGGGTTCAGTTGAATGGAAAAACCGCTCAAGGGAAGGATGAGAAAGGACCCACAGGAATTGTCTGTGTCCATCGTATGACCAGAGCAATATCACTGCCCAGACTCGCAGTGTTTGTTCGTGCTCTTGCGAAGCAGATGTTTCGGCTGTCTTTGCGTTTTTCTTTTTGTGTGTTTTGTCCTTTTGCCCCTTTTCACATTGTTTGCTTTGTTGTTTCCCCTCCTTTTCTTCTTTTTCGAACAACAGCGGCACTGGAACCAAGAGCAAGCCTGAGGCAACCTCAGCAACCCCCAAGGAGCGAACCCGAAGGGGAGAGAGAACTTGGAGTTCCCGTCCTTTCCCAAGCACCCTGTCACCCCTTGAAAAACATGGAAATTCCGAGTTGTAAGGCTTGAGGGTTGAGTGACCTAAACCTTTGACCCACCCAATTGGAGTCTGGGCCTGAGCCTCCCCCCCTACTTTGGGCAATTGAATCTTTTGGAGGCCCCCCCCCCCCCCGCCCGCTTTTTGAGGTAACTGAAAGGCAAAAGGAATCCACTTGATATGGTTAATACGGGGACCTTCGGTTGTGACATTTGGGTTTTGCCTCCCCTTCGCAGGAGGTTCCTGCATTGTGCCTCGTTTCTACACCCATTTGGCCATGGGTCAAAATCCAAATCGTACCCCCGGTGAACATCAAAATCCCCACTAAAATGGACTAAAATGGGTGGTGCACCTACCCCAAAATGGTACCATTGGAACCTTTTGACATTTGACCCACAGCCATTTCCCTTGTCTCAAGACAGGCCCCATGTTCCCATCTGCTTGGCGTCGCCAGGCCGAAGTTCAACGACTTGGCCAACAGGTACGAGGAGGCACAGGAAAGCATCTCATGGGATACGGCCCTTATCCCAATCCAAGTTGCGTATTTTTGTCGGACCCCCCCAACGACATGCGTTTTGGCTTTCCTGTGGGTTGTTATTACTATTGTTTTCAAGGTTAGATGGGTTGAGGGGACCGGACCCCCCCCGCAAAAAATGGGGTCTCTCTGTACTTGTCCTTTTCAATCAATTTGCTCCGAAGGGGCTTTCACAACTAGTAAAGGAGTCACGCACAAGACGGGAAAGGCGTTTTCAAGCCCCGCAGCTGCTTTCCCGACCCAAACAAATCACTCCCAACACGGCCTCTTTCGGATGGTGTTTTGGTGTTGAAGGCACCCCAGCGAACAAGACATCCTGGCCAAGACAGGTTTCGCTGCGAATCGTTGATTGCCGAATTCTGCAGATTTTTGTCTGTTTGTACGCAGCAGTTCTTGGGAGATCCTTGCAAAGGGATTGCAAGAAACCCCCAAGTTGACAAGTTTAGTATCTTTGGAGGTCCGTGGCGGTTCAGGATTGACCAGGAGGAAGCGGAATGGAAACCCCGGAAGTTACTCTAGACCCCTGGTTGATTTTGATGCGGTGGTTTTGTGGACACCCCCCAAGAAAACCGGGGACGTGGTTCCATCAAGGGTTTTCTAGAGATACTAAGGACTAAGGGGTAGAGAGCCAGACAGCCAGACGTCCAAAGCTGCTCTTCCTTTGTTGCGGAGGTTTCCTGCATCGAAACGTTTCCAATGGAGGGTATATTTCAGCCACCTGCTGCCTCACCATTCGCGGCCAGAATCCCCTGTTGTTAGAAAGCATTTTTCATTGGCAACCAAAACACCATGATTAAGACGTATCCTTCTGGAGTCTCCAAAATAATTTTCTCAATCTTTAGGGTAAACTGGTGGCTCCCAGCCATCCCCATAGCTGTTTAGCTTTCTGGTGTTGAGTGGGGTTTCCATTTAGCCCACTACAAGCTAAACTTTTAGCGGGGGGTCTGAGGACAGCTCAGGTCAGCTGGATATGAAGCCGAAACTGGACATCTCCCTTTGGCCGAGTTGTCTCCTCATCGCTCCCTTTCGGCTCGCCACGGGACCCGTTTGGCAGGTGATTCTGGAGGCGAGCCGCGGCGAGGCGGCCAGCCCCGAGGCGCGAAAGCGCGTTACGTGGCGCCCTCACGACTTTCCTTCAGGTAAGACTCCTGGTACGTATTGTTCTTTCCGGTCGGGGCAGGAGGGGGCAGGGGGCGTAAAAATTCCTGGTATGCAGAGAGTCCTTTGTTGTTGGGTGGGCATTGGATATTGTGGTTGGGGGGGGGGGTGGGACTCACTCGATGTCCAGCGAAAAACCAGGGGAATCACCAAATGTGCCATGTCCTTTAGGGGAAACAACCAGTTTTGATCATATGGCTCACACGGAATCTCCAAAACCGTCCGTCTTAAATCGCGGGGGTAAGTGAATAGACCCATCAATTGTCGCCTTCTTCTTGCTTCCCGTTAAGCCAACCCCAAGGTAGCCTCAAAAATATGCACAAACCCATTTGGTGGGGGTCAAATGACACTTTGTAAACTCCCGGGCAAGATTAAAGCAAAGGCAGAGAGCAAGTTCAACCTTTTTTTTGGGGTGTAGGCTCAGTCAGATTTTGACCCACCGGCGGACCCACTGAAGGTTCCTGCTTTGGGGTCTTGATAGATTTGTTGAATTAATCCAAGCTCGGGCCCCAGGAAGGGCCCTTGCTTTGTTCACCAAACCATCTGGGTTTTCCTTGTGAGGGCCTTTTTGGAGTTGCTTGAAAAGGAAACCAACAAAAAGCTCAAAGGAAGCCAAAGGACACCAACACGAGCTTTCTGGGGGGCCCCATTTTGAGCCGCATGGTGGGAGCTTCGCCCCGACCGAGGCCACGGACGAGACGACGTCGCCGCTGTCGCTAGCCTCGGAAGACGCGTCCACGGAGGCGAAAACCCCACGGACGCCAAAGCTGCTGGGCCGCGAGGCGGACCAAGGCGGCGGTGGGGGGGGGAGGAGGAGGGGCAGGGGTGTCAGTTGTTGTTGCGTTTTTTTTGGTGAGGGGCTTTTGGTGGGAGCAAAGGGGCTGAGTTCTTAAGTGTTGCACAGTTTGGGGTTTTAGGGGTTTGCCCCCCCCCCCCCCGAAAGGGGGGGGGGCGTGCTTGTTTGACAGAAGGGCCCTTCATGGGGGTGGGTTTTGAAACACGGGATATAGTAGTCTGTTTCCTTGCTACTTTCAAAAAGAAAACAAGAACCTCGAGCAACAAAAAATGTCAGACCCTAGCTCTCGAGGTATTCTTGGTTCTGAGGTATCCGCAAGAAGGAAACATTTGCCATCACGGAGCGGGAATTTCACTTGCTAAGCTGAAAGAAAAACAGCCATCTTGTCTTTCCTTAACATACAATCCAGATTATAGTTTATAGCAAAAATCTAACTAGAACCCTAGATACTTGGAAAGGAAACCCCATCAAAATTCTGATTCAAATCAGCAACAATACTTGAAGCAGTTAGAAAAAACTAACAGCTTGTCTTTCCTTGCTAAATTATAGCTATACACATGTCAAGTAAAAAGTCATATTTGGAAAGAAATCCCCAAATAGATTTGGAAGGGATTCCTGTTTACAATATACTTAAAGCAATAATAATAATGAGAATAATAATAATAATAGTAATAATAATAAACAAATATAGCTAGATTCTACTTGAAAGCATATTCGGATAAGACCCCATTACACATCTAACACTAACAGTTAAATTCAAGGTTCTATTTAACTTCTAATTGGAACCCTGCTTGGAAGGGAAGTGCTGACTAGTATCTAATTCAAGAAATTGAAGTGAAGTCTGATCGAAATCCAATTTGAATGTACGTAACGCCTCGCACTGTAAACCTTCAAGAGGCGTGCATTGCAAATTAGAAGAAACACCAAGCTTCTCTTTCCGTATTAGATTTCCAATTAAAATCCCACTTGGAAAGGGATACCTATTTAGATTCTAATTCAACATACTATGTTAACTTGAAGGCTAATCGAGATACGATTCAACCTAAAGCTGTGTAATGTAAAACTTGTAAATCAATAGAACTGAAATTGCATTTCCTCTGAGACACTTTTGGTGACTGGCCTTTTCTTCAATCTGATAGTGCAAGCTTGCAGCTGACAAGCAATTATGGGCCAATGTTCAAGGCCCAATGGTCTGATGAAGCCTGCTTGAAACAGACAAGCAGTTTTGGGCGCAACATGCGAGGTCCACAGCACTAAAAGTGCATCGCTCCCATACAATTCAATCTCAATCTGCCTCGATGCGCGTAATTCTCACTTGAGCCACAATCAAAACCTGGGTAGATGAAGGTTAGTAAAGGACATCCCAGCCAGAACTATTTGCGGTCGCCTTTGTATTTCTTTACATAGTTCTAGGTCAACCATTTAAATACTAGGTTTTGATTGAGACTCACTTGTGGGGTTGAAATTGGTGCATTTTGCGGGTTTCAACAACCTACACCCCATGAGGGGACGCTCTCCAGAATTTTAGTGGGGACGGGTTGTTTTTGTTTGTTCTGTTTCTATGTTTGGTGTTGCTCGGTTTTGGGGTTTTGTCTTTGGGGATTCGCTCGGGGGCTCGGAACCTTGGGGCGCATCTCCCCATGCAGGCGCGATCCGCAAGGGCCAGGTGGGCCTGTCTCAAGATGTGCTGACGCTGATCACGCAGCAGAAGGAGACGCATGCGGTCGTGGCATGTAAGTATGCCAGAACCCAACCCATATAGGTACATATGCATGATAAACATATATATATATATATACATGCATACATATGAGTTCCTAAATGAGACTGCACAAAACAAGGGGCTTAAAAGCTACTTGATGAAATATGTTATCAATTTGACCCTTAGGGTTACCAAGAGGTTCCTTTTAAGTCAAACCACCCCGGAACCCCACATGGGTATGGCAAACGGTAGGCGTTTGTAGACAGTTTAGGGATTTGTAGCAAAGATGCTCCCAGCCGTTTCTGACTGAGGTTGCAGCTCAGAAATGAGGGACCGCGGGACCCCTCGGTTTGAATTCGATTTTAAACGGGAAATTGTACCCCTCAAGTAAAAGCACGACATAGATGGGTATGGGTTGAAATAGGGAACGACAAACATGTTGGTTTTCCTTTTGGCTTCCTTTCGGTTCTCCTTAAAACCAACGTGAAAAAGGATATCCTGAACAAAAACCTCAGATCAAAGATGCCGGGGTCCCGTCCATTTGAACTGTCGCTGCGGCTTTTCAGGAGACACGCTGCGGAGCACGTTGAGAAAGGGAATGCCGGACCCAGTTGGACCCAGTTGAACCCTTTGAAAGGGACACAGGGTTTATGTCCCAAACTGGGATCCTGGTTTCAACACCCCCTTTTGGTTGGCATGGCAAGCTAGGAAACCAAATGCTTAGACATACCCACCGGAGCATGCCCTTTCTTACTCCTCGGCAGAACATGGAATGTGAAGACAGGGTTCCCCCCAAAAGAGATTTCTCTAGAAAGGATTGTGCTCGGGAACTCCATGTAAATCTCCCAACTAAGCTGCCCTTCAGGTCTTATGTTCCGGAAAGCGTAGTGGAATCCTATGAAGCGGTGGGGAAGATATCCTAAGAATAGCCCACATCATATCCATTCTTTTTAAAGCTGTGGAGGAGATGCTTGAGCTACTGCACGAAGAGTTCAAGGAGATCAGGAGCCAATCTGCGCCCCGCTCCAGGCGAGGCGGACCAAAGGTGTCTGTTTGGTTTCGTCAAACGTTCGGGGACACGAAGAACCATTGGTGTCCTTTTCGGTTGATTTGGGGGTGTCTTTTTGAGCGAATTTGTAGGCAGTCCCCTATTTTACGATAAACTTTGGTAGAAACTAGATGGCGATTCCTGGATGATCTGGTGTCCATCTGTGAAGAACCCTGGCACCTTCTCAGAAGGTGGTCCAAAAAAAGGGACCCTTGAAGGCGTAGGTTCCGTTTGAAAAGGAAATTCAAGCGAATCTGTTGGTCAGAAATTGGGTCCCTTTCTTGCTGAGCAACTCGAATGAGCCGCAAACAACATCTGGCTAGATGACGAAAAGAAGAGACAGTTTCAACCAGAAATAGTTGCAGCATGAAGCTTTGAGGTGTGTTTCTTGGGCGTGCTTGATGCTTGGGGCATCACGGAAACCAGCTCAGTGTCCCGGGTTACCATGGCCCATTCCTAGGAATCGACTCTTTGCTACAGGGAAGAAGTCCCCAAAGTCAGCCCCCTGCCTTTTGGGTCCAAATGGGGAAAACGGCCCCAACCACCGCCATTTACGTTGCTTGAAGCCGACCTGTTTTGCCCCACCTATGTGAACACCCTGTTCCATGTTTGTGACTACCCTGGTCTTTTCCATCCCTTGTGCTTCGCCCCTCTTCCATTTTTGAGGCACCCGTTTTTTTTCTCCATTTGTTTGGTTGGCCGTTTGGCAGGTCTAAACACCTTGGCCCTCGGAGATTAGTTTCTTGTGGTAATGTTGATTTCGGATGAATAGACCCTCACCCCCTTGGATTAAACGAGAAAGTGGGCTGCGGGAGAAGGTAGTTGTAGCTGGCTGCTCTGCGGAATTGATGGTGCATCGTTTTGATTGGGCTGGAATTGACTCCAAAATTGTTATTGTCGTGCGGGAAAATGGTTCTGCCGAATGTGCCGTACTAATTAGGGGTGTTCCCGAAGGTCCGCGTCAGAGTTTGGAATTGTTTAGTATGATCCCTCTCGCTGTGGTACTCGGCGGTATGACTCCCATGTTTAACAGGTGTGATGTTTTCGCGTTGAGCATATACGGAATGAAACATCTGGAACCCTCCGATGTGGTTTCCTTTCAGCTTCCCCAAAAAACCCCATCCCACCAGTCTCTTTGACACAGCCCCCTGTCGGGTCCCTTTCGCGCGAATAGGATCTCCTCCGTGGGTACGCCTCAACGTGAGCAGCTCATCCCTCTAGAGGACGGCAAACCCGTGAAGCCCGCCCACGTCATGGCCATGACCGGCACACCTGGCGCCCTGGGCTGCAAGGGTCTTCCGTGCCCGGAAGTGCTGATGCATGTTACTTTCGTTTTGTTTTGCATGTGGGGGCTGTTTGGTTGGCGTTTGTGTGTTCGTGCTTTATATTGATTTGTTTGCTTGCTTTTTTGTTTTGTCTCTGTTTGCATGTGTTGTCGTCTTTCTTGATTTCTGCATTTATTTATTTCTGCATTTATATCTTTCTTTCTTTCTTTCTTTCTTTCTTTCTTTATTTGTCCTTTTTGATTGTGTGTGTTTATTGGCTTGTTTGTCTATCTGTCTGTCTGTCTGTCTGTCTGCCTGTCTGTCTCTCTGTCTCTGTCTCTGTCTCTGTCTCTGTCTCTGTCTCTGTCTCTGTCTCTGTCTCTGTCTCTGTCTCTGTCTCTGTCTCTGTGTCTGTCTGTCTGTCTGTCTGTCTGTCTGTCTGTCTGTCTGTCTGTCTGTCTGTCTGTCTGTCTGTCTGTCTGTCTGTCTGTCTGTCTGTCTGTCTGTCTGTCTGTCTGTCTGTCTGTCTGTCTGTCTGTCTGTCTGTCTGTCTGTCTGTCTGTCTGTCTGTCTGTCTGTCTGTCTGTCTGTCTGTCTGTCTGTCTGTCTGTCTGTCTGTCTGTCTGTCTGTCTGTCTGTCTGTCTGTCTGTCTGTCTGTCTGTCTGTCTGTCTGTCTGTCTGTCTGTCTGTCTGTCTGTCTGTCTGTCTGTCTGTCTGTCGCTCGGTCTGTCTGTCTGTCTGTCTGTCTGTCTGTCTGTCTGTCTGTGTCTCTGTGTCTCTGTGTCTCTGTCTCTCTGTCTCTCTGTCTCTCTGTCTCTCTGTCTCTCTGTCTCTCTGTTTGTCTGTCTGCCTGTCTGTCTGTCTGCCTGTCTGTCTCTCTGTCTCTCTGTCTCTGTGTCTCCCTGTCTCTCTGTCTCTCTGTCTCTCTGTCTCTCTGTCTCTCGGTCTCTGTGTCTCTCGGTCTCTGTGTCTCTGTGTCTCTCTGTCTCTCTGTTTGTCTGTCTGCCTGTCTGTCTGTCTGCCTGTCTGTCTCTCTGTCTCTGTGTCTCTCTGTCTCTCTGTTTGTCTGTCTGCCTGTCTGCCTGTCTGTCTCTCTGTCTCTCTGTCTCTGTCTCTGTCTGTGTCTGTCTCTCTGTCTGTCTGTCTGTGTCTCTGTCTCTGTCTTTGTCTCTGTCTCTGTCTCTGTCTCTGTCTGTCTGTCTCTGTCTCTGTCTGCTGTCTTTATCTCTGTCTCTGTCTCTGTCTCTCTGTCTCTCTGTCTCTCTGTCTCTCTGTGTCTCTGTCTCTCTGTCTCTCTGTCTCTCTGTCTGCCTGTCTGTTTGCGTGTCTGTCTCTCTGTCTCTCTGTCTCTCTGTCTCTCTGTCTCTCTGTCTCTCTGTCTCTCTGTCTCTCTGTCTCTCTGTCTCTCTGTCTCTCTGTCTCTCTGTCTCTCTGTCTCTCTGTCTCTCTCGATCTCTGTGTCTCTCTGTCTTTTTGTCTCTCTGTCTCTGTGTCTCTGTCCCTGTGTCTCTCTGTCTCTGTCTCTCTGTCTCTCTGTCTCTCTGTCTCTCTGTCTCTCTGTCTCTCAAGGCACTTTTCTCCAGAGTGAATTATCTGCCACTTGGGGGTTCCAGATGAACCAGGACTAGATGTTCATATACCAGACTCTACTTTTCATATACCAGACTTTACTTTTCATGTGCCAGACTCTGAGTTGGTTTGGGAGCCTAAGTGGATACGCTTTCGCATGCTACTGGACTTCTCAGTGTGCCCAGATCATGGATATAGCACTAGTGGTTTAACTGCCGGAGAATTCCATAAGCAAATGAAAGCAGTGTATGGCCTCCGAGGGGTTGGATGCCTCTTGTTCTTCCGCCTCGTTCGTACCCGGATACCCCCAAAGGCGATTTGATCCCAAGATCCCTAAAAAGTCCACTGGTGGTTTGGGAGAGCCTGGAGATTCCTTAAACAGCGGAGGAACAGCTCTTGAGATGTCTAAAAAAAGAAAAACATATCGCCAAAAAAAGCACGTTTGTTTGTGAGAACCCTGACCGCCGACCGGGGCGGGCTTTGGAGCGGCAGGCGCCTGGACGCTGCGCAGCCTGGTGGGCCCAGACCTCATGAAGAAGCAGGACGCTCGTCGGCTCGACGGATTGAAGTGATCAGGGGGGTAGGGGTGAGGGGTGGGCAGCCATCATTTGCAGAGTTATGTTCAGGGTTGCTCCGAACCAAAGCCGCCTTTAATTAGAAAAACAGTGGGGAGTCCTGTCGTTTTCCAACCGAATTTCTGCCCCCACCCAAACCCACCCCGCCCCCACACCGCACACCCCACACCCCACACCACACCCCACACCCCACACACCACACACCACACACCACACACCACACACACCCCATACCCCCCACACACCCCACACACCCCGCACACCCCGCACACCCCCCCCCCCCGCGCACACCCCGCACACCCACCCCGCACACCCCACACACCCCACTCCACCCCCGCCCCCACCCCACCCCACCCCACCTACCCCACCCCCCACCCACCCCCACCACCCACCATTTTCCAGACGTGGGGCAGAGAAAGCGCCGCAAAGGTGGCCAGCCTTTTGAATTTTGTTGCCTGGCTGAGGGTCGTGATGGGCATGCTGAGGGCCCAGTCCAATTTGATGGACCAGCGCATCGCAGATCCGCTTGTACCTCCAACAGCAGCTGGCCAATGGGGCCATTGCGCCCATGCAGCCGGAGCTGATGGAGGATCAGTGGCGGCGGGGGCAGGCGGGCTTTTCTTTTTGCATAGCAGCTCTTGCGAATCCAAGTGGCTTGATTAGGAATGTTGGAGTTGATCTGTCCTTGTAGGCGATGCGCCTGGAGCACCCTCTGCGGCCACTGGGCCCATCTGTGCCACCTTGCCCACCTGGCCCGTCTGTGCCACCTCGCCCACCGGCGGATGTACAGCGCTTCAGGTTTCTGCTGGGAGCACCGCCATCCTAATCTTGCCCCGGAGTTGATTGCACCCAGCTTCGTAAACATTGCTGTCGCTTCACTGTGCTGCGACACGGGGAGTTCAAAATGTAGCAATGGTGCGCAACACGTGCTGATGTATATTGTCAGCAACATGTATTACTCGGTGCGCACAGGCAGGGTAGGCAAATGACGCAAGCTGTTTAACCCTTTGGTTTATGTCAGGATTTCCAGCGATAAGGCTTGAGAGAAAGCCTTTCATGGTTTTCCTGCGCAAGGCTTGAAAGAAAGCTTGATGGGTTGGTGGGGAGACAGTTGGAAAGGTGGCGGGTGGTCCTACAGAGACTGGAGGTGGGACCAAGAGCAGGAGGGAGAATGGATGAGGAGGAAAGAAGGCCTGAAGGCCGGAGGAAAAGTTTGGGCCATCTCAGAGACAGCACAAAAAGAAGGAAAATGAAAGACCTCAAAAAAGCAGCTTCCTGCGATGGGCCTGAAAGAAGGCCTGGCCAACCTGACTGGGACCCCTTCTTCCAGGAAGGAAGGGGGAAGAAATCCAGGGAAGATTGTCAGGTCCAAGCCAGAAAGAAAAAGGCTTGAAAGAAGGCTATCCTGAGGTGCCTCAGCAGCAGCAAAAGCCTGTCTCCTAGAAGTGGAGGCTGATGAAAGAAAGAGAAAAAGAAATGATGGAAGATGAAAGGGGGATAATGCTTGAAAGAACTCCAAGAGGAGCGGGCTGCCCTCCTGGCAGAGCAGCGCGGGTGCCATCGTGGAAATCAGGCTGTGTTTGTTCTAGCCGTCCAGACATTATTCCCTTCGTAAGCTGGATTTGCCGCTATTGTTTGCTCGCGTTGAAGGAGAAAGTGCAGGCACTTTAAATGACACAGAGCGGCTTGTGGTTATCCGGTCTCCATGTGCCAGTTTGGGCTTTGGATAGGAAAGCTTGGGGGGAAGGCTGGGTCTCAGAGAACAATTCTCCAGGAGCTTCGTCCTTGCCCCGCTTTGCCGGTGTGCTGGGCTACGGCCATTCACACACCTTCGAAGCAATCAAGGTCGAGAGACACATGCAATTGCCTAGGCGCAAGCCCCCGTCATTGCCGGGGCTAGTCTCATCATCATTTGCCACAGAAACACGAGTGCTTCAACAAAGTGCTTCTTCACAGAACAGCCGGACCTGACTCATTCGCCCACCCACCCACCCACCCACCCACCCCACCCCACCCCACCCCACCCCACCCCACCCCACCCCACCCACCCCACCCACCCACCCACCCCGCCCCGCCCCACCCCACCCCACCCCACCCCACCCAACCCCACCCCACCCCACCCCACCCCACCCCACCCCACCCCACCCCACCCCACCAGGGACAATACGATAAGTTCAAAGAAACCAGTTGAACAGTTTGTTTGCCTCAGTAACCATCTTGAAGGATACTGGATAATCCTAAAGAACCGTTTGTTTGGTTCCGCCGTCAGGGCAACTCCGTTTGCGGATCGAGCGAAACCTCGGGAGAGAGGTGCTTGGAATTGTTTTACCCGTGCTTAATGTTGACCCCGGACAAGGGCTCAAGTGTACCAAACTAGACCGCGCTGGCCCGAAAGCATCATGGCCCCGTGATCATTCCCACGCATGCTTTTTGCCCGATGTGCAGTCTGTCAGCTACAAACAGCCATTAACTACAGGAAGCTTGCACGGAAAAAATGCGCAGAGCAGTTGCGCAGAGCAACTTGCACAGAGCAACTGCACAAAGCGTCATTGCACAGAGTCATCCTGAGCGTCATTGCGCAGAGCCATCGTGAGAGTCATTGCACAGAGGCGTCATGAGAGTCATTGCACAGGGTCATCATGAGAGTCATTGTGCAGAGTCATCATGAGCGTTGTTGCAGAGTGGTTTCTGTGTGAGCGATCATCTCGCTCCTCTTGCTGTAGCTCCTTTGCTCTATGCAAGTGCTGCCAGAGCTGCCGGAATGTACTTCGCGTGCTACTTATAAGTTGCGATTTTGCAGCTGGAGCTGCGGAGGTGCACTCCGCGTACTACGTTTGTACTTAAAAGTTGCGATTTTCCAGCTGGAGCTGCGGGAGTGTACTCCGCGTACAACGTTTGCACTTCATGAACTTTCATGAGACTTGGTTGTTTCAACCAAGGGTTGCTCCGTCCTTTGTTTTAAGAAGAGCCGGCCAATTCTGACTCCATGTTGTGTTACGAGGGTGGAGGGGTCCCGGAAATGTCAATTCCTTTGTTGCTTTCAACCGGTTGGCCACATGGTTTTGCACACCCGTTCAACTGAGCCCGCTCAGCACTGCACACACGCCAGCCACATGGTGAGCACACACCCGCTCACGCGCACCCGCTCAGCACTGCACGCACGCCAGCCACATGCCCAAACAAGTTTCGGCGAAGAACCTGCCCAGCGTTGACCCCCAAGCAAGTTTCGGCGAGTCATCCAGCATTCACCCCAAACAAGTTTCGGCGAGGGATCCGGCGTTGACCCCCAAACAAGTATCCAGCGTTGACTGCCAAACAAGTTGCGGCGAGTGACCCGGCATTCACCCCAATCCAGCGTTGACCCCCAAAGAAGTTTCGGCGAGCTCCTCAGCGAGTAGCTCTCCCAAATGTTGTTGGTCCAAGGTTAAGATGTCCAGCTTCGGAGGCTTGGGCTAACCCAAGTTTGGGAGAGCTACTCGCTGAGGAGCTCACCGAAAACCCTACCCAGATCTACCCCCAAGTTGATTGATTGGGCATAGGGGGAATTGGTTTCTCTAGAAATTTGGGGAGTTGGGGGGGGGGGTTGGGAGAGGTACTCTGTGGGGAGCTCACCGAAACTCTGGCGGTCCCCTAACTTTTGGTGAGAAATCCAATCTCTGGACCAATCTTGGACCAACAACATTTGGGAGAGCTACTCGCTGAGGAGCTCGCCGAAACTTCTTTGAGGGTCAACGCTGGATTCCTCGCCGAAACTTGTTTGGGGGTCAACGCCGGATCCCTCGCCGAAACTTGTTTGGGGTGAATGCTGGATCACTCGCCGCAACTTGTTTGGGGGTCAACGCTGGGCGGGTTCCTCGCCGAAACTTGCTTGATTTCAACGCTGGACTCCTCGCCGAAACTTGTTTGGGGTCAACGCTGGATTCCTCGCCGAGACTTGTTTGGGGGTCAACGCTGGGCTCCTCGCCGAAACTTGTTTGGGGGTCAATGCTGGGCGGGTTCCTCGCCGAAACTTGTTTGGGGTCAACGCTGGGTTTCTTGCCGAAACTTGTTTGGGGTCAACGCTGGGTTCCTCGCCGAAACTTGTTTGGGCTTGTTTTTCGGCACAACCTGTGGGTTCCTCCCGGGGCGGCCCCCCCTTTTTCAACTTACTGAAGCTGTTTTGGGTTCAGCCTTTTCCTCGCTGAAATCAAGGCCGGATTCGCTGCTGAACCAAAACTGGGGTCGGACCTAGGCTCTCTGACACTTGATTGGGTTCAGATCTTGTCCTTTCAAGGGGAAGAGAGATGTCCAACATGCATACCTCCCCGAAAAAAACACACAGAATAGACGTATCAAAACGGGGTGGTGCTCATGCGGGGAGAGAAGTGAGAGGGCGCCCAAAAAACACACCCCAAAAATGAGGTGTCAAAAAAGGGTTGTCTTCCAAACATGGATTTTCCAAAATTCAGGGGAGATAGGACGCCCAAAGCAGGGTGTCAAAAAAAGGTTGTCTTCCGAAAAAAAAAAGCAGACCCCAAAATGGGGCATCAAAAAAGGGTGGTGTTCCAAATGTCGATTTCCTAAAATTTTTGGGGAGAGAGGATGCCCAAAAAGCATACCCGAAAAACAAGGTCACGCCCCTGTTAGCGGCCCCGCTGTTTTCAGGCTTTTTTCGACAGAAGCCCCACATGACTCGATGGCACGCAGCACTTTCAGCAGCATGAGCCAACAACCATTGCCAGCGGCCCCGCTGTTTTCAGGCTTTTTTTCGACAGAAGCCCCACATGACTCAATGGCACGCAGCACTTTCAGCAGCATGAGCCAACAACCATTGCCAGTTTCATATAGTATCTACATGACTCCAAGACTTGTTTGTTGAAACTCCAGTGTCTTTTAAGTGCTCATGCTCAAAAACCGAGTGGCGAGAAAACCCGAAACTCCAGCCCACGCTGATACGCCGCCGCGCAAGAGCAAGATAGGAAACCAACTGACACCTGCCAACTCGCAGGCGTGTGTGCAGTGCCGAGCGGGCTCAGGTGAACCGGTGCGCTTACCATCTGACAAACGTGTGCGCAGCGCTGAGCGGGTGCGCGTGAGCGGGTGTCCCTACCATGTGGCTCGCGTGTGTGGAGTGCTGAACGGGTGCGCGTGATTGTGCATGCCAACCATGTGGCTGGCGCGCGTGTAGTGCTGGGCGGGCTGAGTTGAACGGATGTGCTTACGATGTGGATGCACGGGCGCACGTGAGCAGGTGTGCTTCCCAGGTGGCTGGCGTGTGTGCAGTGCTGAGTTGAACGGGTGTGCCTACCGATTGAAAGCAAAAAAGGAGCGGACATTTGCGGGAACCCTCCGCCCTCGTAACACAACATCGAGTCACAATTGCCTGGCCCTTTTCAATACAAAGGACAGAGCAACCCTTGGTTGAAACAACCAAGTCCCATGAAAGTTCATTACTTACAAGTTGCGATATTTGAGCCGGAGCTGCGGGAGTGCACTCCGCGTACTCAGTGTGTTAAAAGTTGTGATTTTTCAGCTGCAGCTGCGGGAGTGCACTCCTGCGTCTGCGCTTAAAAGTTACGATTTTCCAGCCGGAGCTGCGTCCACGTACTACGTTTGCACATAAAAGTTGCGATTTCTGTCTAGAAAAGCTGCCGCGGACCAGGCGGGGATCGAACCCGCCGCGCAAACAACGCGACAACTTCCAAAGACCAGTTCGCAAGCAACAAATTCGCCGCGATCCCCTCAGAGGGTTCATCGGGCACTTTGCAAATTCGCACGGCGCCGCAGCGAGAGCGCTTCGACCACGCCGATCTCCGCGAAAGTTCGCGCGGGAACCGCAGAAATCGTAAAAAGTCCTCAGTGTTTTTAAGCTCGACCACACGAATCTCCGCTCAGGGTCGCGCGTGTAGATCAAAAATCGTGAAAAGTCTTCAGTTTCTTAACCTCGACCACACAAATCTCCGCAGAGGGTCGCGCGCACAGATCAGAAATCGTAAAAAGTCCGCAGTTTTTAACCTCGACCACGCCGATCTCCGCAGAGGGTTGATTTTCGTAGAGTGCCGTCGGGCCTACCCCGCCGCCCTAAGAAGAGAAGAAAGGAATTTAAAACTCTCATGAGCATTGCTCCTTGCCAGTGACTCTCACGAGCATTGCTCCTCGCAAGTGACTCTCATGAGCATTGCTCCTCGCCAGTGCCTCTCACGAGCATTGCTCCTCGCAAGTGACTCTTTGTGCAATGACTCTGTGCAATGACTCTGCCAAATGGCTCTGTGCAAATGACTCTGTGCAATGACTCTGTGCACTGACTGCCATGATGATGATGACTCTGTGCAATGACTCTGATGATGATAACTCTTTGCAATGACTCTTATAATGATAACTCCCATGAACCCAACGGGAGAACCCTTCGCCATGCTTTCGGGAAAAGCGGTAAAAATGACTGTGTGGCGATTCATTGTGGCCTTTTTGCCGTGTGGACCCGTTTGCCAGGAGTTCAAGGAGAAGGACGATGCCTGGCAGGCCCATCGCTCGCTCGCCGGATCCATATCCATAGGCCCTGGGTGGGTGGCAAAATCGGATAAGGAGAGAGTCATCTTTGTTGGTGGCTTGTTGTTTGGCAAAATGGGGTGGGGTGGTTTGTTGCTTTGGGGGTGCTTTTTCTTGAGGACCCCAGCTTTTTGAGATTTCTCAAACATAGTGCCTGGGGTACAGAAGTGTACAGGGGATTTTGTCTTTGTTCCCATTTGTGTGGCCACCCCATCAATCGGGGCCGGGGGGGGGGAAGAGGGGGAGCCGCTGAGTCGTGAGGCGTTCATCTACTGCTCGGACACCAACCAACCCTGCAGCCTGCTGGACCCCTCGGGGGAGACCAGGGCCTCCTCCGGGTGGACGGACGCCAGCCAGTTTGAGCGGGTGCAGCAGGCGACGATACGGTAAAACGATGTCGCTCCTTGGGGGATTCCTGGATACATGACTATGGTAAGGGGCAAGGCTGCTGTGAAGCTATGGAAACTGCCTGAAAACCCCAGGCTTGAGTCACTTTTTGGGCCTGGACCATTTTAGTGGCATACAGCAATGAAGAAGTTTTTAGACTGACTTTGGGCAATTCTGTCAGGAAGAGCTTTTCAAAATGAGGGACACCCCAACACGGGCTGTTTTGCTTTGACCTCGCTTTGCAACGTACCCTTAAAACGGAACAAGACATCTATGTATAGCAGTTGGCAACTCCTTTTCATTGCTTGGAAGTTCGAGTGGTTGGCCACCTGTGTTAAACCCATAGACAAGGCTAACTCTACCGGGACTTCGAAATGGATTATGCCAACTAGCTTGCCAACAACTTAGGGCCAAACACCCAATTGCTGTTTTTCTTGTTGCCCGGTTTTCTCTCACCAGAAGAGTAGAATCTGGACTCCCGGAATTCTTCTGCAGGGGACCAAAGCCTTGCCGGGCAGTGCCTAGGAGGACATGTCGCCGTCCAAATTGGGCCCGGTTGCCCCTTTAATTCCTTTGATGCCAACCCCAAAACAGGGTTTTCCACCAAACCACTCTTGGCGAGTCTATATTTATGGGTCAGGGGTATCCCCAATAGCGTGTCATTTTTCCTCTGTCAAATAGGTGCATCGGTATATCCATGTTTTTGTGTTTCGCTTCTTGGCCTTCCCTTTGTCCAGCCCGGTGATTCCATGGTCGCCTCAGAACGCCAGGCGGTGCTGGAGGGCTTTGCGGCGCCGAAGGAAGGCCAGGCGCCAGGTGCCACTCGGGACGTTCCTGGACGTCACGGGGAGAACACCTCTGCCAAAGCAGGTCCCCCAGTAGTGCCCTTTTACCCGTTTTCGTTTTTGGGGGAGCGTTCCCCTACTAAAACGACTACAGAAGAAAGGGTACCCTTATTCTAACCTCTCGACTGGAGGACCTAGCAAATCTTCCGTTCTCCAACTCCGAATCCTCCCTCGGTTCCCGGCCATGCCATGCCCATAGACTGTTTAGAGTTGGACGTCACTTTTGAGATCATTTTAGTGGCCTTGCCAACATGTGTTGGGCAATAAAACGGAGGTGATATTTTCGGGGATGGGCCTTCCATGAGACACCAAAGGGAATTTGAAAGACCCTGGGCCAAGGAGACTCCCAAAATGGATTTCAAGGTTTCCCAACATGGGCCTAAAGAATCACTCTGCGTCACTAGGCCTTTCCATATTGACCATATTGATTTGAAGCTAACGAGTTCTTAAAAGTTTAAAAGTCTCTAAGGTGGTACGGGATCGTAGGCCATGCACTGAAATATTGGGTCCTTCCAAGGCAAGGAATATGAGTGTGTGTTTGTCAGGGTAACGTTTTCAGGCTGGTTTAGAAGGGAACCAAAAGGAACCAGGGTGAGTCGGTAGGTGGCAAAAGGTAAACGTGATGACACTACACCAACGCTGGGGAATTGCGACAACTTTCATCCTGGATTTGGCAGTTGAACATGAAATTGACTCATCATAGGATAGTCATGTGTGTAATGATTGGACCCCATGCCCACAACTAAAGTTCTAGGTGTTTGGGAACCCGGAGATTGGAGTTGCTGTTTTCTCGAGTGGAGCATCCCTGTGTTGCCGATATGTGTTTGCAATGAAGGGGAACAGGAAAAGGGGCCCTCTTTTGACAACTCCGTGAAAGAATGAACGCGCTGTGCATGCCATTGTTCATCTTGGCCATTAGTTGCAACTGGAGCCGCTCAAGCCTGGTTGGAAACAGAGAACAATCCAACCATGATTGTTGTTCGATACCCACCAAAGGTCCATGTCCAACTGAGACTCATGCCCACTTGTGCCATGGTCCAAACATCCTTCCACTCGGGGTTGGTAAGGATTTTTCATCAGCCCTTCTGTAAGATATTCAGTATCACCGATCAAACAAAGGTCCCTTTCAAAGAAGTCATGAAGAGTTGAGCAATGGCAATCACCCAGCATCCAGACAATATCTGGTGAGTAGTGGGATGATATGATATGGGTGCGGCTTTTGTGAGTATGCCTTTTTGGATGCTCCCCTACTTTGAGCCACCCATACGTTGCGTTTCTTGTGTTCCTCACCCGGCGAGGCGCATACGGCCACCAGGGCTATGCCACGCCGCCAGCACCAGTCTTCGCCATGTCGGCCCCGCAGTTGCCGCAGCTGCTGTCGTCGATGCCGCAGTCCATGTCGATGAAGCAGCTGCCTGGCGGCACTTTTACTTGGCGAGATATGGCCATGGGACAAAAGCCCGTACCCCCAGTGAACATCCCAATCCCCACCAAAATAGACTGAAATGGGTGGTGCACCTACCCCAAAATGGTACCATTGGTTTGACCCACAGTCATATGAAAAGCAATCAGACCTTAGGACCGTTGAAGGGAAGCCAAACATGAACAAGCAACAATTTGAGACCAAACAAGAAACCCATCAACAGGTAGCCGTTTCAAACTCAAAACCTGTTTAAACTCGAAACCCCGGGCTAAACAGAGGTTTGTCCCAGCCCTGCCAGAGGGGCCTGAGTTTGTTTGAAACTCAAGAAACCCCAAGTTTTTAGCTTAGGTTTGGGCTGGGTGTTTTTTCTTATGTTTCTCCATTTTGTCCAGCATTCCTTCGAGTATCCCAAGGCATCCGGGGCAATCCACCAGGGCGCAAGTCCATCCCCAAGGACATGGGTGCCCTCAAAACCGTATGGGCCTAGGTCACGGGTACAGTGGTTCCAGGTGCAACAAGGGTATTCAAGACAAGAGTAGATTTCCGTGAGGTGTTCTGAGCTTCTTTCCACGCAATGCCCTCCAAACCAACCACTCCAAACCGACCCCGAACCCACCCCAAACCCGGCACCCCGAGGTTGCCCTCCCAGTTGCCCGCCTTCATGTCGCCACAGCTGACGCCCACCCTGTCCACACGTCAGCTGCCCGCATTCATGTCGCCGCCCCACGAGCCCCGCGTCATCCGCGGCTGAGTCGTCCGCGGCGAAAGTGCAGGAGTCAGCCACTAGGGCAGCCAGGGCTGGAAGGTCTTTCTCCAAATCCGGTGCCTTTTGAAACCCAGGTGTAGGGTAAAACCCTGGGAAGGCAAGGGGGGAAGGCCGCAGGTGAAGCTTTTCGTCCAGATTTGGAGGCGGGTTTTTCCTCCCGCGCCGGACCATGTCCGGCTCGACTCGACTCGCTTACGGCAAGATTAGGCAGATTCGCGATTTTGCGACTTGGTTCGGGATGTGCACCCGACGGGCCGAGCAAGTGTTGGGGTTTGTTTTGACGTGTGCTGGTCACTAAATACACATCATCTCAAGTAGGGCCTGGTCGGCGCATCGCTCGCGGCTCGGGCGAGCGTCGCAGCGTGGCGCGCAGCTGGCGCTTGTGGCGCTCGCCCTGGGGGCTTCCCTTATCAACCAGGGCCCCCCCCCTCGAACGCCGTCCGTCAGCGAACGTTGACGGAAGCGGCTCCGAACCGAGTTCTCTGGTCACAAGACCAAGGGGAAAGAGGTAAGGTGTCAAAATGGGAACGCTTCCGCCAGTTTCGACCTCGATTTTCATCGGCGGCTTTTTGACACCTTCCCTGCTTTACTTAGTGGCACCATTGGAAGATGAGTTTCCGAAGGGCACGCCACACCATACGAAAATACGAGAAGGCGGCTCTGGTCTTTTCTGGAAACAGAAGCCAGACGCCGGGTGCGACACAAAGCATCCTTAGTGTTCAGTTTGCGCTGCAAACTGGTTGCGAGTTATAAGAATTCGCCCAGTCCATGTTCGTGTTTTCGATTATTCCGACAGCGCAGCGCAAAAAGCATTGGGAAGGATCAAGACAATTTTCAGGTTTTTCTGAAGAGGTATTGGATTTTTTGTTTTCCAGTTGGGTACAATTCCAAAGCCAAGATAGTGGTCTGGTTGTAGAGAAAGTGTCTAAGGAGGCGATGTCGAATTGGGGAGGGATTCCGCCGTCAGTGATCCTGTTGATCCCCGCTCTTTTCATGGAGCAGGACACTCTCGCGCTAATCAACCAGGGCTCTCCTGGAAATCAACCCTACACACAACATCCCATCCTTTACGAGATCTCCTTGTGGAATCGGACCCTCTTTTTTTCGGGAGGGGGGTCCTCTAAAGTTGCAAGTTGGACGGGGTGCTCCCATTTGGAGGCAAACCATCAGAGTCATGGAGTTTTAAGAATGCAGGCGAACATTGGGAGGGCCCGGAGTCTCCGTTTAAGCTTTCAAAAATGTTGGCCTTGTACCCCTACATTGTCGATACATTACATGTTGTTTCTAGGCATTCGAGACTTCAGGTCACCGTTTGCCTCCAATGTACCCGATGTTCCCGTGCAACATATCTACATGGCCACGCGTCTTCTCGCAACTCGCCTTGCACCAGGCGTGCGTCAACTCAATGTCAGGCGCGGCTGCTTGGATCGAGTTGAAAACCCAATTTCTTTGGGAAATGAGGCCCAACATTCCAACGGAGCTTTTTTTTTATCATCAAAGAACCTCTCCTGCGCGGGGGCCTTGGGTTTTCCTCCCGTGGAGTTGCAGGTTGCGCCACTTTCCCGACTACTGGGATATCCCGTTGAAAGTGACAAAGAGGGATGGGAATCTGCCACTTTAGAAGCACCGAAGGGCAGCCACTTTGCCCAAGCGTGGTATTTGCACGAATCATGCCGACTTGCCGGGTAAAACACGCTCATGCATGATGAAGGAGCCTCATGATTCTGCTCTGTCCTTTTGCTCCATCCTCGCCTTTCCCGTTGTTGGCTTTGCTTGTCCCCGAAGCGGCCGGACGCAGCGGATCGGAGACCGAATCAAGATGCGAACGCGAACACCTGCTGAACCAGAGGTTTGTGCACAGACCCATGGTGAGGGTACCCTCAAACACAGGGCTCCTTAAAAGATACATTTTGCCCATTGGAAACATGGCTTTTTGCACCAACATAAAGGGACACCACCATTTACAAGGCAATGTTCAGGTGTATAATGTAAGGATCCCCGAAACACCAAAGGGTGAAGACCATTGTCCCTTTCTTCCTGGGCGTGCATTTCCACGTGCGCGAATCCGACGGGGGGGGGGGGGGGGGAGAGAACCCTCTTGTGGGCTTAAGGAAGATCAAAGGGCAAGCAATCAGTTTGGGGGTCCAACTTCCACTGTTGCATCCCCCGGGTGTTTCTCAAAAGGTCGGGGGCGGCTTGGTTGAATCTTTGAACTTTAATATGTTGGGAAGTAGATTTTCCATTCGACCCGCAGGTTAATTTTTGTGCAGCGGGCTAGCAGCAAGTAGTTCCGCTCCAAGACGACCCGGCTGTAACAACTGACGCACCCAAAGCTCCACACGTCAGGGCTACTGCTGGTGCCTGGGCCGATAGGCGACCGCTGCTTTTGGCGCTGTTCCTTTTTTGGGGTTAGTGCCTTTGTTTTGGGAGTTTCCTAAGGGAGACCGAGGCACCCTATCCTGAGACAAACCCCTCCAAATAGGTATCTACCTGCCCTGGGACCCCAACCAGAATCCCTGCCCAGTAGAATCACTAGAAGCCGACACGGGGCCCAAAAAGCGAGGGGGGGGTAGAAACCGATGTCTGCAGACACAGGCAAGTGTGTGGGAGAACAAATCGCTCACCTGTGAAGTTTCCACACTGGACATGTACGGAAAATATAAGGCTTTTTCCCTTGTGGACGTACATCAGGGTGGTAATGCCAGTTGGTGATTCGGATCGAACTCCCGGTTCCTGTAGAGCGCAAATGGGAAACCACCCCCCAACCTCCAAACCACCAATCCAAACTACAAGTTACAGCGAAGTGGTCGCTTTACAGGGCAGCCCAGAGGAATTCGAAGGGGCTACCTGTGTTTCGCCGGATAAACGTGGACCAAGCATCTACTCCCCAGAGTAGCATGGCGCTTCCATGTCAATCTGGCAGAGTGTATTTGTTTGAAGCGGCAGCCTATCAGCACTGGTTTATGTTTGCGGCACGTGCCCATTGAAAAACACTCGCGTAGTTCTGCACCTTCATCCTTGAGTATAAAGGGATTTGTCTCAAAGTAGGGGTTGTCCGAAATTGTTTTTCCCCTAAAGGATAATTGCCTGCCAAGGCACGTAGGTACGTGCCTTGATGGTCGTCTTGTGGGTGGCTTCCGCTACTCCAAACCACTACCCCAAAAGAGAGAATTGGCATGCACCACCAGAGTATGGGTGGTTCTCAAACTAATAGGAACCGTGTACAATGGTTGGTTTCCTTCTGGTTTCCTTGAGATGTCGAAAAGGAGCCCGTCCCTTTGAATATATAACATATATGCATATACATATGATACTCATATATATATATATATATTATGTGGTTTGATTCAAAGGGAACCTGTAAATGAAAGGAACATGTTAAGCATTACCCCCTGTGTAATGCATATATAGATAAATAAAAAGTATATATGGTACCCCCCCCCCCCAAAAAAAAAAGAAAAGAAAAAGAAGCAACCAAACAAAACAAGAGACTGTTCTGGGGGCCCCATACTGGATTCAAGATTCAAGAACTAGAGTCTTGGGAATCTTGCATCGATCCGAAAGCGCTTCAAAGCGCTTTAAAGGGCTCTGAAGCTTCTGCTCCAGTCGTTCCTGTTTGGTTGTGCACCTTATTATTATTTTGGACTTGTGTGCGGTAATTACATCCAGTTGACAGCTCAGCATTTGCACATTGGGAAGCTAATTCCTTAGACAGTGATTTCAAAAAATCCATGCCAACCCTTGGATATTGAACACAACACTGTAAAACATGTAAATACCAGTGTTTTGCATGCTTCTTAGCAGGTTTTGTGCAGCACATATTTCGTTCCGGGAATTTAGTGTTGTTAGCAGACAGAATGGCATTGGTCAAGGCATATAAGATGTAAGCAAATGTTTTGGTGTTGGCCAAGATTTGTGAGCTGGCAGACAAAGGGGATTTGCCTTTGAGTTGAGATGAGAGATGCAAGATGCGTAGCAGGCATTGTCACAGGTTAGTAAGTTGACAGAAGCAGAAGAGGCATTGTTTGCTTTATTGTTGATTCCCTTGCGCCAGTACCCCCACAGAGATGTTTTGCAGTCAATTGAACGAGTATAACATTCGTGATGAAGACTATGAAAAAGCAAATCAATATGGACACAACTGAATAGTAAGCCATGGGAGGACCACTTTGCCTGACTTCGCTTTTACACCGTACCTGGCTTTGCTTCTGATGCTATGCTTGTGTTGAAATACACTTAGTTTATGACCCGAAGATGCATGAAATGATTGGACAAGGATCAAGAGGAGGAATGCCACACACATTTTTCAGAAAGTGGAAGCAAATACTATTTAAAATGGGTGGCAAAGTTTTTAATGAATCATCTGCGGAAGTCTACCAGCAGCCCACTTCTTGTGACATCCATCGAAAATGACCTGACTTCCCTTACATAAGCAGCAGGCGTGCGTTTTGCGGGGGGGGGGGGGGGGCTTATATGTGTATATCTATATGTATACATACATACACACATACATCTTTCTTAACCGTTATGTGTATTACACACTGAACTTTGCATGTGAATAGCACATTTACATACATACGCATACTTATGCTTACATATACATACACATACATGTGCATATATATATATATATATTTATCTGTGTAAAGGGTTATTCCCTTCGATGCTGTGAACCGAGTCGCTCCTGCTGGGCTTGGGCTCGACCACGGACCCGGCGCTCGAAGCTCCAAGGCGCGGCAAACAGAAGGCCCTTTGGCGTTTTTGCGGTGATCATTTCTAGCGGTCTACAAAAACTTGACTTGCTTTGCTTACGAAGGTTTGGGACATGTAGACACATATGTATGTATGTAGATTTGGTTTGTCATAGTTCAATAGTCATGTGTGTATATATTTATTCCTGATGAATGTGTACATATACATAGATACACATTTATACATACATCATTATTTTTATACATTCACATATGTTTTCCTACATGTGTATATATATATATATATATATGTATTTATATGCTGAGAGCATGCCCCCAGAAAACTGGGGGGGGTGGCCCAGGTTTGCGGCAACATCAGCCCTCTTGCCTAAACACATTTTTTTCTGCAATCGTTGAAACATGGGTGGGGGGTGTTCACAATGCAGCTTCACAAGAAAGGTTTGTCCCGTGTGGCCGCTGGTTCCTTCCAACGCACTGTATGCGCCCAATCTGTTGGCTTCCGATTGGATCGCCGAAAGGCAGAGCTGCCTTTGCCTCTTCGACGTGGATCGCACGCTGACGGGCCAGCAGGATCTTGGAGCTCCCCAGTGCCCCTTGGCACAATCCCAGACACCCAGCGGGTTGCTGGCCCTTTTTTTGGTTCTTGTTTTGGGGGGAGGGTTCCTTCAAAATCAAGTAACAAACGAAGGTTATCCTTTATTTCTATGGCCTCGGGCAATGAATAAACGGGTTCCGATCGCTCGCACAGAAGGACCCGCACGAGTGTAGATTTGATTTGTCAGAACCCATTCGGTGTCACCCAATGTACGACTGGATCCATTGAAGCGGTTGCATGTTCAGAGATTCTCAAACAAATGCGCCGTTTTGCTCGTACGGGGTCCTTTTAAACCACTGGATGATTTCGATTATGTCACTTTAATGGAGCCAGTTTGGACATAGGACGTGGGTCCAAGTAGATCTTCCACAAACATAGAAGTGCAAAGGTAAAAGGAAAGTAGCTTTCCAGGAGGCAGTTGTCACTTGTGTGATTGTGACATCGCCTTTTGGGAACATTTGTCTTCAAACCTGGGGACCGTCCAGTTTCTTGGTTTCCTTTTGGTTTCCACCACTCATAGAACCAGTAAACCAGGAGATTCTACAGGAAGCAAGTTCACCCCCTACTAGAAACGGGGTGTGGGCTCGTTGCTCTCTTGCCACTTGGAGGCCTCCCAAACCATCCGAAACGGACTGATGGAAGCTTCGTGGGCCCTGCTTGAATCAACCTCAAAACAGGGACCCCCCCCCCAAAAAAAAAAAGAAGAACATACAACAACATGGTTGCTTGATTATCTTGTCAGGTGTCCCTTTAAAACCATTCAAGAAAGGGTTCCTCCAAAAAGACATTAATTGGCCTTTAGGCTGCTTATTGGCCACCGTCCGCCTTCAAGGGTCAGCGAAAGCCAAGGTCCTGTGAACCAGGTGCTGAGTGGCATCAAGGAGCCTCGCGGGCGGGACGTGACCAAAGCCAAAGGGGGGCAGCTTTTGTTGCAAATAAAGTGGCGGCCCAAAGGGAGAACCCTCCCCAAAATGAAATGCACTGACCCCCAAGAAGATCAGCCAGGATTTCTGACGGCCATTAGTACCATTCACTCTATCGATCCCAAACTCCCCAAAACTTAGCCAAGAGTTGTCCAAAAGTAAACAACCTCTTTTGGAGGTATCGACGCCAAACTCCCCAAAAGGTAATCAAGACCTATCAACAAGTAGGTCTCAAGAGGTACCGAAAGGTATCGAAAGTGTGAAAAGGTGTTCTTAGGTATCCAAAAGGTATCAACATGTAGGGTATAAAAAGGGGAGCGACCCGGGCAGACATGTACCAAGCTTCCTCCAGTCCGTAGGTGTCCAGCCGTCTCGCTCCAGCCGTTGGCTTCGCGACTGAGCCATGGCGAACCCGCCCATCGATGGATCCACCGTGGACACCGGCGCCAAGAACGCAAGCGGGCTGTGCGTTTGAAAGGGGGTCGGCCCGTCCAATTTAGGGACAAGCACTGGTTGCTTAAGCACATTTTCAGATGTATGAGATTCATTCGAGAATGTTCAAGACATGTTCAGACACCCTGTTTGTTCCATAATTATTGCGATCGATACTGGTCATCATGTTTCTGATTGGAAAAAGCACGTTTCGGTTCCAGTTCTTTCCTACTTTAAAACACGCGCTCTGCTTGTTCAGGCGGCCTTGTTGCTCTTTCCTTCGGTTAGACGTCGACCTGAGGCGCGGTGTCCTGGGTCCTGACATCAACCGCCCTGGTCTTTCTGATGACTGCGGGCGCCTGGACTGGGGAGGCCTCGCCTCAGTTTAGGGGATGTCCCAGGATGGATGCATTTGGGGTCACAAACAAAGCAATTAGAGGATCCCCTTTGTATACAATAGGCTTGCAGTTGTGGATGTATCCACTAAGGCACCCTGCTAGGGTCTGATTTTGAAGGCGCGCTTACCTGGAAAGAGAGAGCAAAGCCCGTGATATGAGTCCTTCACTTGGTCCGATTCTCACTTCAGGATTTGGAATGGTTGTTGTATTTGCAGATGGGTGTCCCTTTGGTTGTCAGCCAACAGGGGGGCCAGCAATGCTTGTGGCAAATTGCTGAAAATCTTCGAGATCCCCTTATTCTACATTTGGGGCCCTCAGATGCCAACTATCGCCGAATCTTTGGAAAGCGATATCCTCTTGTTTTCTGACAAATCGAGGTCTCGCAGCAAGGGCAGAAAAGCGCGGCCGCCATTTTTTCCACCCCGAAAAAATGATACGGATCCCGTTTTTTGTGGACACCAGCAGGGTCCCTGGGGCCGAATTTTCATCCCTTGGGCATTATTTGGGTGGGGGTTCTGAGAAGTTCAACAAACTTTGAGAGTGTCCCTCTGAAGAGATGTGAAGGTGTTGTTTCTAAAGTACCACGCTTGGGCGGCGGTTTTAAAGGAACACTAAAGCAACACCTTCCATTTTAGAGCTTCACCCATCTGGAGAAATCCATCTCAGTGGTCAAAATACACGCGAGGTATGCCTTGAACAACTGGATCTAGTAATAGCAAATCCTTCATTGAGGAGCTACAATATTGGTTGCAAGAGATTCTTCTTTTGAAGTGAGCCTTTCTTCCGGCATGCCATGATTTTCATAGAAGTAGCAAATGGCACAACAGCGGCCTATTCTTTCACAAAGCCAGCCACTTTCTGAGGACTGGGCCTCTTCTATGGCGGCTTGGTGCGGGAGATCAACATCATCAACACCATCATGATGAGTATCTCGGTATCTTTTGGACGCCCTTAGCAACAACAGGTGGTACCCCCAACGCAACCGCTGGACCCCAGCCAGCTCGGGGCTGGGGAATGACTTTGGCCCCGGATGAAGCCCCCCCCCCGGCATCCCATGTGTTTTCTACTGTTCGGTTGTTTTCCCCGTGTCATTTGTGTTTTGTTCCACGCATTTGACGACCGGCAAACCATGGCTGTCAGCACATCTGAGCCAACCACAAACTCTGGGCAACTGGGGGCTAGGCGGCTTCTTCTCTTTCTTCCTTTCTTCCTTTCTTCCTTTCTTCCTTCCTTCCTTTCTTTCTTTCTTTCCTTCCTTCCTTCCTTCCTTCCTTCCTTCCTTCCTTCCTTCCTTCCTTCCTTCCTTCCTTCCTTCCTTCCTTCCTTCCTTCCTTCCTTCCTTCCTTCCTTCCTTCCTTCCTTCCTTCTGCTTCTTCTTCCTTTTTCTTGTTCTCTCTTTTCTTGTTCTTGTCCCTATTCTTTGCTTGTTCTTCTTATCTGTTTTGTCTTTTTGTTCTTGAGCGTTGCCTGTCAGGTAACCCTAAATTGGTATTTGGCTACGGTTTGGTGGTTTGGTGGTTGGCCAATCCTAAATCAGCAGTTGGGTTTGGTGGCTTAAAACAAATGGTATCCTTATCCTCATGCGGAACACGGCATCGTGTTCTCACCCCCTGTTCAAACCATAGCCTTATGATCCTTCCGGTATCCCGACCCGGGCACACATGGGTGGCTCGTCTTTTTTTTTTTCTAAAATTTGGACCTCCCAAAAATGGTTGGGTTTTCCTTGTGATGTTCCTTCTGATTTTCCTTCTGAACCGAACAAAAAGCAGAGTACCCTCTCTCAGAAAAAGACACGGCCACTCACCCAAGGCATCGTGTCGATGGGTGTGGTGACGTTGACCTGGGTGGTGCTGGGCTTCTCCTTCGCCTTCGGCAACTCTGGCCCGTGGATCGGGGACTTCAACTACGCGCCTCGGGAGAGGGTAAGATGGGAGGGCAGGTGGAAGAGGGGCAACCGAAATGGGGAGACGGGGAGACCCCCAAAAAGGGGGGGGGGACAACGGAAAACAGATTGGTTGAGGGATTTGTGAGGGCTTTGAGGGACTTGAGAACTGCGCAAGAGTGGCCAACAAGGGGAAGCACGCGCTTGGCTTACCGGGGAATCGGGCAATGGCTTAAAACAAGTCTTGTTTGGTCGGTGTTTCAAGGCGTTTTCCTCACGGCGGTTCTTTCAGGGTACACATTGATCAACATTTCACACGCCGCATAAAATGTCAGGTTCATCGGGAGGTGTTATGTTGTTGTTTAAGGATTAGTTGGAGGTTCAGGCCTGCCCCTTGGGTTCATCTCAGCCCAGCGCTGAGTTCCTCCTCAACGGCCTGGACAAGCACCTGTGGGACGAGACGGGCCTCCCAGCCCTGCGCCTGAGATTGCGATAGGAGTCAGGAAGCAGGGCTTCTCTGGGTCGTTTGCATCGCTGAGTCCAGACCTGTTGGATTTTCCCAAACGAGAACCCAAAGGCTCGGGCGCTAAACCCTGACGGTGTTCCCGGAATCATTGCCAGCGAGCCGACCGGCTCCAGCCCCAATATCCTGTGCGGAGGTAGGGAGGTTCTAAGAACCCTGAAGCGGGTCCTGGGAAGCTCCGGCTTTGTTTCCTCAGAGCTTTCGCCGCCACTCCTGAAACTTGCTCCTTTGCGTTCGAGTCTATTTCAAGGCTTTGAGGTTGACCAAATATAAAGCATCATTTGAGGTACCCCCACGCCGGGTTTGGGCCAAAAGAAGTTGGGGTAGGTGCCATGTGAGATCTCTTTTGCCCATCAGGTTCACCAGCGATTATATTTTGTACCCTGGGGCTGGCCACTCAGCGGAGGTGCTTCGCGAGTTTTCAGATGACCTTCGCCATCATCGCCTCGGCCATCATCTCCGGTGGCATAGTGGAGCGCATTCGCTTCAGCGCGCCCCGGACGATCCAAGAATCCGGAGGGGATGGGCTCAGAAAATGACGTCCACATCGGCATTTGGGCCCTCCAGATGGATCGGTTTTAATGCTCCCAAACTAAGTGGCAACAACAACAACCAAAAAAACGCTTAAGCGATCGATGGTTTTGATGTCGGAGACTCTGTAGTTCGAATGGGCTCCTTTCGGTCATGATTGGTCCTGCACCCTTCGATCCGAAACGTTCGAACGAACCCCCGTGGGTACAGGCGACACGGGGGGACGCGACCACGACCGATCGTTCCCCTTAGATTCCCCAATGAGGGGGCGTCGGTTTTGGGAAGGGAAACCAAAAGGAAAACCCACTCTTTCTGCGGATCTACCAAAAAATGACGCCCCCTAATGGCCCTTGGCCCAAGGGCATCCTTTTCCCATCACTTAAAAGCTCGCTAAATGGCGGGATCATTTTCCCAGAAGAACTGCCACCAAATCCGAACGAAGAGTAAGAACCTTGTACTTCAAAGCAGCTGTTTACTTCTGAAAGCATTGTGCCTGGAATCCAAAGGGGGGGCATGCACCTTTTGACTGGCGATGTTTCCAGTTTCTTCGCTCACTCGAGTCTCCCTATTGTTCAAAGATGGGCTAGAGACTTCATGCATAAAGGGGCAAGAGACGGTTTCGAGTTGGACTTCCAATGCAGGTTTTGGAAGCATCGCCATTTGCTCCTTCGGTGATTCATATTTGCCTGGGGTGATGCTTGAAGGCCCTACACCCCAGGCCCTTGAACCTATGGTGAACGACAATCATAGTTTGGTGTTAATGTGCTTTGTGCTGGTAGTGTTGGCTTGGTTTCCTTTTGTTTCCTTTGTCCTGGGTTGCTAAATGTCTATTCTTTGTTCATGACTGGAGCCTGCCATTTCCTTGTGCAGTTCTTTTTGGAGGCTTTGAAGAGTTTGACACAACAAACGGCTGTTTTTCTTGAGTTCCTGCGGACCACTGTCGCATGAATCTTGTGATTTTGCGACGGGTTTTGGATATCTGATATACTCTCTCTTGATCTAAGCAATCATGATATCAATGGCACACCTTCAACTGTGAAGTGGAGCTTCTGGCCGAGAGTGGACTTTCCATCCCATGTCCAAGTCTTTTTCTAGCATGTCGGAGCCGTTTCGGGACTGAGCTCGAAAGATTGGAGCGGTGCGCCTGAGGCCTATGTGGTGATGATCGCCCTGTGGTCGCTGCTTGGCTTAT